TGAAGGAAGCAAATGACCTATTTGAAGAATTGTACGAATTTCCTAAACAGCAGAGGACTAGGTATAACAGTATGGCCGAGGAAATCAACAGACTGAAGATGAACAATCAGAAAATAAGAAAGTGTAATGAGCATTTCCAGAAAAGCAAACAAATTCGTATAGAGAAAAAGGAGTATGACCAAGAAGTACGTAGACTCAGAATGGAACTGAATGCCACTTTGCAAAATAACAGTGGTAATGCAGGGGGTACAGCTGTTCCATCCTCACCAAAATTTGAATCTGCTTTTACTCGCCATGATGCCAAGATGAGCAGTGAAGATGAGACATTGAATGTGAGCCCCTCTCGAAACTTGCTGGAAACTCACAAAGCAATAAATGCAGACTCTGACAACTCTACAGTAGAAAAGTCCGACACAGAGAAGGCAGGGGTGGTTCTGTTGGAAAACAGTGACACAGAGAAATATGGTGTAATTTCAGAAGAAAACCATGTAATGCAGGCACAAGTGCAAACTACCCCTGTGGACACATCATATGCAACGCAGAGGGGATTAGCCATGATGGCAAAGAAAACACTGAAATCGTTTGAAGTGAAGAATCGAGTAAGAGTTAACAAACCACGTCTACGAGTCTACAAGGAAAAGCGCAACAAGCCTTCAGCCCAGCTAAGCAAGAATAAGCATGTAAAACGGCTTGTTCACAAAGCTTGGTCCACTACCAACCATGTCACAAGACTAAAACTTAAAAAGGGAGCAAACTACATGGGAGATGTTATTCCCATAACCTATGAGTGTTGGTCTTCACCAGTAGAGACCCTGGAGTCCCGTATTGCCAGAGGGTGGCATAATGCGAAAAACAAAGAACCCAACAATGGATGTGAGAAAAATGGATGGTGGATGAATGTTGAAATGATTAGACTGTAGATATTGGATTATATTTGAACTGACAATGTATGACTTTTGTAACTTCTGAGGCTACTTCTAATTTTTAGTTATGATTCGCCATGGGCTGAACATTGGACCTTGTTGTTGTTGTTAGAGATTTTTCATTATGTGACAATGTGTGTAGAAGGATAACGTCAATATTACTATTGCAGAGATTTTGTGGTTTTTGTTATTTGGATCTACTGAGTGTATTTGGATGGTATTAAGACGAAGAGGCCATTAATTATAGTGTTTTAATATTGTTGAAATGGATAACTGTTCAATAATGTGTCATAAATTGTCATTTGTGACAGGAAACACAGAATAGAATATAGAGGATAATTATGACTACTATCAAACTGTACATATTGGATATCAAGTATCTGCTTGACTTTGGCACAAATCGTAAAATGATACATCGTGTGGTTTCTATCAGCCATAAACTGTTTATTATGTGATATGTTAAGTGTGGATAAAGTGATACGGAACAAAGGATAATTAGTACTAATCAAACAGTGTTTCATACATCTCAATCATCAGTTTGATTTCAGAACATTTTTATGACTTTTACCCCAGATATTTGATAAACAATTAGGTCATAAACTGGAAAGTTATGGGCTAACACAAGTGATATGATTAGCTATTGATAGCACCTTTAAGGACTAGATTGTTTTATGGCCATACCAAAGCAAATATGGATGTTCAATCTATTGCTGTTTATGACCGTCACTTTTAATCACTCAAGTAGTCAAACATTACAATTTAAATTAATATTTATATTTATTTGTGGCTTTGCTGTAAGTGTATTATCCCCTGACTTATACTGGATGCTCAAACCCTTTCATCTATGCGGATCATACATTTCATTACATTTTCCTTGATAATTTGTTGTACCTCAGGACTTAATCATCACCTGATCTACACGTGTTCAAGTAGAAGAGAATTTGGATTTATTTATTTAACTTACAGTGAATAGTTGGATTATCTCAAGTTTCTGTGGATGGTACCCAGTCAACATTAGGACAACAAAATATGAATATGTATTATATAGTATGATGGTACAAAATATTGTATGATTTGATGCTGGATTTATATTTGCTGTGAGATTTGGATTAAATCAAGATCATTTGAATAGTACCCAGCCAGAATAGGGATAAATGGGTCATATTTATTTTGTTTAAATATTGTTGGAATGGATAACTGTTCAACAAATGTGTCAACAAATGTCACTTCCATCAGGAATTATGATTAAAATATTCGAATCACGGATCATTGGATTATAATAGACAAGTTTAAGCACATTATGGAGGAATACTGCAAGGCTGTTATAAAAGGAGACATCTATGGAGTGTTATGTTTTGGCAAAAATGCTGGAGGTGATGTCATTTTTCCTACAAATTATAATCATTGATGTGTCACATGAGGATGAATTTTGGACTTGTTGGAAGAGACTGTGTCTTTTTACCTTTATCTCATATTTTAGATAAGTATAGCTTGGTTAAAGTTCTGTCAAGTGGCTTCTTGTTGCAATCTTGAATGTAGTGATATTGAAAGACAAAGATTCATTATTCTTTCCATGTAATGTAAAGGCTGTTTGTAAACTATGATGATATTATGAATATAGGCTAAGTGACCCTTGAGTACATGTATATGAGGCCAAGAGAGCCTAGAGTATATGAGGCCAAGAGAGCCTTTGTTTTTAGTAGATAAGGCCAAGAGAGCCTGTGGTTTAAAGTAGATAAGGCCAAGAGAGCCTGTTGCTTTTAAGTGTATTACTATTAGGGTCAAGGGATCCTTCAATTTATGTGTAACGGCTGGAAAAGCCAGTAGTTTTTATGAATTGATGGTCAATAGAGCCTTGGTATTTATGTTTAAAAGTTTTGAGAGCCTTTAGATTGATATGGATTAGAACAGCGTAAGTAGTCATTATAGGTTTGACTCATAAAATATGAATGATAGAAGCATTTTGACTATTTCCAAGCTATACACCATTTATGATATATTTTTATGACTATTCCTACAGCTTTTTGTTGAGTCACTCAAAATTTGTTGTTAACGCAATATGGATTGCATATAGTATGGGTTGACAAGGTGATCCAGTTGTGTCTGTAGGATTTATTTGCCTAAATGTCTGATTGCCAAATGCAGCTTTGGTTAAATGTAATTGGGTGCTTGGATGATAGTGTGGTTTCTATGCTTAGTATTAGACAGGCATTCTAGCAAAAGCATTTTGAGAAGTTTCAAAAGAAGAAAAAAACAAACTTTTTTTAATTAATTAGGATGCTCAAGGTCAGTCAATGGTATTGAATAATTATATTATAATGTTGGGAATTTAAGTTTGCATTTAGTGGTATAGTTTGGTCAATTGATCCACTGTTGTTTATTTTTAAGTACATAAGTATATTTATAACAGCAAGTATACTGCATTATATACCTTATTTTATTTGGGACAAATAATTACAAAGTAGGGGGAGAATGTAACAAAGATGGTCAAGGAAAGGAAGGGGGTTAAAACTGACTCAGAAATAGGGAGAGGGTTATCACTGAATGCATATTTGCTCTTGGGGATTAATCATTCAATTTAATTGTAACTTTACATAAGACCATCCATGTCACTTCACACCTCTAGGAAACCAACTGTAATAAAGATAAGTACTTTGATCTAGTGGGTTTCCTGGAGTGGTCGGAGATCTCCCCTTGCTTTGAACCCATGTTTTTATTGTATATTTGATTATTTATCCATTTGGCCCAGTGCCAGTTGGCTTCATGCCCAGTTGGCCTGGTGCCAGTTGGCTATTTGCCAACCTGGCTCTTTGCCAAAAACAGGCTGTATATATATAAGAATTGTGTAGCCTCAGTGAAGTTGATTTTAGAGTTGATTAGAGACAGTGTGGTTTTGCAGAGTAAGATTCAGTTTGAAATGTGGAAGTTGATTTTAGAGTTGATTAGAGACAGTGTGGTTTTGCAGAGTAAGATTCAGTTTGAAATGTGGAAGTTGATTTTAGAGTTGATTAGAGACAGTGTGATTTTGCAGAGTAAGATTCAGTTGTTGAGTTTTAGAGTATAATCAATCGGTTACAACCAGGAAATTACTTAGGACATGTAAAGTTATATTAATCAATGAACAATAAAAGAAATAGAAATCAAACTAACATTTTATGTTACTGCCACTAGACGACACGAGCCACAACATTATATTTTATGACAATAATTTGTTACATAAGCACGGGTACATGCATGCAAGGATTGATAGAATTCCACTCTGAAATGCATGGATTAGGCTGATTTTAATGTGTACATTGATTGAAACGGTTTAAATTCAGACCTTCAAGGTTGAATTTTTTATAAGGGTTGTGCTATTTCTAATTAAATTCTATTGATATTTGAATTTCAAAATTCAAGAAGATTTCAAACATTGTCTGAACAGTGTTAATCAGTGAATCTATGGATTCATGGATATCATTTATATCAATAGCCAAAAAAAAGATAAATGGGTAAAATTAAGTTGTCATTTTAACTTTTCCCAAACGAATCACATGGAATTCTATTTACATTGTATATCGATGCAACACCGAAATGCACATAACTAATGAATAACTCTATGCAATTCTTCAAAATACAATATGCCAATCTTCTGTATATTATATATTACAATACACGCATGTAGTGGGATAGGTTGAGTTGGGATACTTCTTGGTGAAGGAACTGGGATTTATTTGAAATAATTTATATTATTATGGTATATTCATTTTATTTATTGATGTAAAAATGTTGTTTGCACTCAATAATTTTAATTAAACTAACACATTTATTTTAAAATGTAAGTAAATTAATAATTGCATGGCCTCATAATTTATAACATCTAAACTGAAAATAAGACTAGATAAATGATTTGACATATAAACTTATGAGATAAAAAAGACAAAAATATTGCGTACTAAGAATAAAAAGCTTTTCGTAGAAATCTGTCATGTATCTGAAGATAGTGAAAAACTGACATGATGGGATCATTACATGTAATCCATTGTACATTCATGTATATGTACATAGATTTATTTATTTATTTATTTTTTATTTTAGTTGTCTAGTAGGGAAGAAACAATCAAGAACCTTCAGGAGGATCTCCTTGAGGCCCAGTCACAATATTCAACTTGCTATGACGATGTGAGTAACAATGACAAGGTTGCCATAATATTGCCATAGTAACTACTATAAAACACAGACACAGACTGAAATAAGGCAATGTCTTAATGTAACAAAGCCCTGTCTCATATATCATTCTAAATTCTGTACATAATCAATTTTGACAATTGGGTGTGTAATCATTTCAATTTTCGCCAATGAAGCAGGCAGATATTGTTTATGATAATTATTATGATATCTATTTATCATATTTAATTTAAGTTATTGAAGCAAGAAGACCTGGTTGAGAAGTTGAAGACGGATAATTCCCGGCTGAATGACATTTCAACGAGAAGTTCTAACAGAGTCGGGGAGCTTGAGGAAATGTGCCACCAGTTAGAATTAGACCTTACAATATCTCAGGTAAAAAGGTCCTCATTTCTCCTTAAATGTTGCTGATGTTTCTATAAATCTATGAATATTTCTTGTCCAAAAACCTTTGGTAACATAAGTTAAGAATAATGCTTATACCAGAATTCCCATCACTCTGTGACAATTGCAAAATCAATGTATGAATTCACACATTTATTTCATCCAAATACATTAACCTCTTGAATCCCAGGTTCTAAAATAGGTTGATGTTCAATTTAGTAAAATTAGACGGCGGAGATCATTTCTAGACATTTTAAAACAATTTTTGTGTAAATTGGATAAAAATTGTTCAAATAAGAGCAATTTTAGTGAACAATTTTGTGACGGATCATCTCGTCACTCTGGGTTTCAGGGTCATTTCTGAGGTGACAAGAAATCTCGTCACTCTGGGTAGTCAAGAGGTTAATGACTGAAAGAAGTTGATTTTATGCTTAAAACTTATTTTAGGAAAAACATCGTACTTGCCAATCAGAAGTGACCAATAGAGATCAGGTGATCTTAAAGCTTCAAACAGAACTGGATACAATTCAGCAGAAATACACAGGCTCAATTGAAGAGGTGAGGTACTTTAATATTTACCCACCACCATCCCCATACACCTCCATTTTACTGGTATGGTATTGAGGTGCATTTTGTTTGCTTCATCCTTTAATTTAATGTTTAGTTTTTATGTCACCACCACAAATGGTGACATTTTATTTAAGTCTCCAACTTTTTGTGGACGGTGCTCGGCTCCTGGTTTGGCCAGTCAGCATTCAGCATCTGTAACAAATGGCAGGTGGTGACATTTTGCATGTTAATGCCTTGTTTATAGCATGAAATGGTCTGATGCATGATCAGTCATAATAAATGTAAAACTTGCAATTTGCAAAAATATTAGTTTTTATAGTGTTATTATTATTTGCCTGATGTATAGCATGCTAAGAATACTTATTATATTTTTATTAAGTTAAATAGTTTTGGAGCTGGTTTTGAATTTATTTGGACTCTGGATTTAAAAACATATGTCCATTTTTGTTATCTTTATGCTTGCTTTTTATTATGCATGTTTTGAGCATTTGTTTACTTAATTTAGTTAAATATCCGTGACGATGAGGTTAATAGACTCAATAATCGGGTTAGGGAGCTTCAAAGTTCAGTGAAACAACTAGAGGCTGAGCTTGAGTTGAGGGAAGACAAGGTTTGTAGTTATTATCTTTTTAGGACATATCTTGACAAAAGTGAAAAAGCATGAGATTATTTTGCATGGCTATTTATCTAAATCATTTTTATTATTTTTAGGGAACTGCTTTTGTCCTTTAATGATCAAGAATGAATGCTGCAATTTTGTTGCTCACTTTTATTTCTTTATTATGATAAATTTGATTTTAACTTTTGTGTTGTCACTTTTCTTGTATGGTTTTGTAGATGCATCCTCAACATTTTAAGCCACTATTAACAAAATCAAACTAAATACAGATGTACATTGTATATGCCTGTAGATTTTGATGAGTTTATTAATACTGAAGGCTGGCAATGAAATTTCAAAATATATGTCTGACATTGTCAGTGAGGTTTTTCTTGTTTATATATGTCATACTTGTAAATTGAATGCCCCATTGGCTAATATGTTAGACTTTGTGAGTGATAAATGTCTTCTAACTTGATTGTACAATATTTCTAGATTAATGAGGATGCTAAGAACCTACAGATTCAGCAGCATGACCACCAGATCTCTTTACAAGAGGTGAGTCAACATGATTGGTTCTATTGTGGAGATTCCCATGGTACTGGGTTCAATTCCCACTCGGGGACAATGCGTTTTTAAGTCAACCAGTAGCACTGAATTTTTTTGAGTTGTGCTCCCAGAAAGAAAAATAGCATGAATATTTCCAGCCAGTTGATAAATATTTAAAAAGTTGACAAATATTTAAAACTTTACATAAAGTTTAATACTATAACTTAAGCAAACACATAACAGTGAAAGTAGTATGAAAAAATACCTTTTATATCCGATGCAATATATTTATTATCCATATCCTTCAGGTGAAGAACCACTTAAAAACCATCGACCAATTGAAAGCTGATCTCCAGCAATTGAAGAGCTCTCACAATGAGGAGGTACAAAGATACCAACAGGATGTGCAGATCCTCCAGGCTGACCTCCACACTACGGGAGAGAGTCTAGAACATTATCGCAACCAGAACACGGAGTTGAAAACTCACGTTGATAATCTATCTCAAGACCTGGAAGAAGCCACTAGCCTACATTCTAATACGATGGAACAGGTGTGTGAAACCAGATATAAGTTTTTTAAGAACCTTTGTTTCATCTAAGTGGGTTTTGTAGACATAGCCATGGGTAGTAAAAGATATAGTCTACCATCTAAAGTGTAATAGATTTGACTGAATTCTTTGAATCTCATCTCATGTAACTAGAAATAGACTTAGTATAGCAAGAGGAGAGGGGGACCAGATAGTTGCATATGATTCAAGACAAATATTATAAAATCTCTTCCAAAGCCTGTAATTAAAGAACTTTATTAGAAGTGAGGCACTGCTCGTATTAAAGGAATGTGTTTAAAAATATTTTGCATGTGACATTTGAAGAAATTCTCATCTCTCTTTTTTTATTCCAGACCCAAAATTTCCAATCAAAAGTTAGTAGAACAACTAACATATAATATAACAATTATATAAAATTGTTTTAGAACATTTAGAAGTATCACTAACAATCATATGTAATTCTACTTATACTATTATATGGTTCTATACTATGTACTATGGCTCTATATGCACTGGTTCTATATGACCTATGGTGCTACCTGTATTATGGTTCTACATTTACCATAGTTGAGCATACATGGAATGTATTACTACAAATACTTATACTTACTAATGTGTTGGAAAGTGTTGCCAAGTCAATCATTTATTGTAATACTCCCTCCCCCACCCCTAACCCAAATATGACAAGGTGGAGCATGTGAAGAATGAGAAAGGACAAAACACTACAAATTGTCTGACTAACTTACTAGAAAAACCAAGGGTTGCAGGGGAACACAATGTAGATAGTGTTTGTTCCATGCAATGGAAATCATTTTGTTTTGGGAAAGAGGTTCAATTTGAAATTCCTTGGCTTTACATTCCTCCTAAGATGAAATTCGTAAATGTTGATTTTCTGTTCATTTAATTTGACTAGATTTTCAACATTAAACCTCAGAAAAAGAAATGTTAAGATTTGCAGATGATTTATTTTATTTGCCCTTTCTATTTCTCCAAATTACGAAGCTAAAATTACAGTTTAAGCTCCCATGTTCTATTTAATTATTTACCTATTTATTAATAATTTTTTTATAAATTGTTAGAAACTTTTGTTAGAAATTGTTTATTTTTCTTTAATTCTGATTTCAAAGTATTAATTATAAATTAGCTTTTTTTCAATTTTTCAATAATTAAGATGCTAGACACAGCCGTAGGTATGATTTCATCAATTTAAATACATGTCCGTCCGTTTATTATTCACTTATGGTATAATTTCTATGTACATTTATTTCAGTGTATTTTTCATCTTATAGAACCCCTTTATATAAAAATTGCAAATTTGGCAACATTTTGGAAAATATTAATATTAACCCTTTCATACCCAGGCTCTATGTCGTATAATTTGATTTTCTTCTTTTACTATGATTATAAACAATTCCTGAAGATGGAAATCTGAATTAATACCAACTTAATGAAGATAATTGAATCCAATACTGGGTGTTAAAGAGTTAAACTAACTTGGTGAAAGGGAATTATAGGCACTAGTCAATGGTTTGTTGTTGTTAAGGGTATTAATTTGGTTCTAGTGGTGACATCACTAAGAGGTTGTGACATTTTGTCTTATCACCATTTTTGTGACTGGTGAAATTGCCACTAAGTGCCAGCATTTGAAGTTGGCTTCTTAGAAATTGTTTATTTTTTTGTAACTTTTTGGAATAAACTTACTGGGTGATTTCATTTTGTCATGTAAATATCATATTTAGACTAAGGCATTCTTTTTAATAATATGTACTCAACAGTATTGAAAATTGTCCAAAGTTAACATTTTATCATCTTACTTGATATTTAACCCTAGTTCTCAACCTTTACTTTAGCCTTGACCTTAACTTTGACCTTGCAGGTGGAGAAGCAGGACAACACCATTAAACACCAGGAGACACAGCTGAGTGAGTCAAGGTCACAAATCATTGTACTTGAAGATGAAATTTTACAAAATAAAGAAACTGTTGATAAATTAGACAGTAATTTGAACACTTATAAAGAGAAATGTAATCAATATACGGATGAGATCAACCACTTGGAGGGAAGTATAAGGACCTTGCAAGAGAAACTGGCTGACAGCAGGAACAAGGTAAAGTTCTTTTATATATGTTCTGATGATGAAGAATTTAGTAATGGATTTCTTCAGATTTGTAACAAAATGAAATAATTTTTTGGGGTATTTTATTTATTATCGAATAAAATTGCTACTAATGTTTTGTAAAACTATAGCAATGCATTATCTGTTTACTTTTGTGAACTTCAATAACATCAATTATAAATGTAACTAACAATATGCTATTTATAAATATTTTTAGCTTGTGATAAGTGATACACCCACTAGGGTGTCATTATCACTGATATGTTTATATGATTTTAATAAATAAAAAAAACTCAAAAATTTATGTTAAGAAAAAATTTAAAAAAAACAATGCAAAATTAACAAAAAAATAAAATTTGTATTTTAGGAAATTGAGAAAGATGAGTGCATTGATAAACAACGTATCGAGATAGAGAACCTAGATCGTCAACTTACGGACAGGAAGGACAAAATCTCACATTGTGAAGACATTATAGAACAATTAACGCAGGAAATGAATCATACGCAAGATGAACTAAATGGTGCCATGGATAAGATCAACTCTCTAGAAGATGTCATTACTTCATTGAAGGATCAGCTTAGGAATGCACATCATGAGGTGGGGATATAGAAACCATTTTTATTTATTATTACATTTGTAGGTCAAGGGTACCTTATAAAAGTTAAAGGGAAAATCTGAAGGGATTGATATAGAAACCTTTTTTATTCATTATCAATCTAGGTCAGGGGGTACCTTGTATAGGTTAAAGGAAATATCTGTAATGACTTGGTTTATGGGGTGGGGATTTAGAAACCATTTTTTGCTACATACTTTTAATTATAAAGGTTTAAAGGAAATTTTTAGAGATATTTAAAAGTCTATGCTTTGTATGTACAGTATGTAGAATTTTATTAAATGAGGTATTGTATTTGAATTGCTTGTCTTGCCCAGTGTTTGTGTTGTTCATAGATCCATTTGTAGAGACCTAGATATAGTTGTTAGTCCTCATTTGTGTTAGATCATATTTCAAACATTGGTGTAGCAATATTTTTCTCATCTACATGTGGGGTGACAAGATTTTAATCTATACAAGTTTATAAAAATTAGTACATACTGTGAAATTGCCAAGTAGTTCCTCTATACCGCTATGAATAGGATACCTGCATGTCTAGATTCAAACCTGTGTTTTATTTGTTCTGATTTTTATTTCTTGATTTGATGTTGTATTTATTTTCTTGATATCCTCTTGCAAATTCCATGCACATGCACATCAAGGACTTTGTCAAAATTCCAATGTCCTCTTTGTTCAGCTTGTCTATAAAGCTCTATAAATATTAAATTGAAATAGATAAATCAATGTTTCTCATACCCCAAATGTAATGGACTTATTTGTATTGGACCAAGCAAGAGGTTAATCAAGTAAGGCTGTTAATTACTTTTTCCTAAAATCTAATTAGGTTTTGATCCAGCCATTTTTTGTGCAATGGTGTATTTTCTTTCTTGATGTTATATATCTAATTTCTTGATTTTTAATGTTCTATAAATTCATGCATATCTATTTTAATACTTGTATTTAATATTAAGTACATGTTATGATAGCTATCACATATAACAATTCTCGTCTCAGACATATGTGCTAACTCTATATTGTTATACTCTTAATGTTTTGCTTGATTTCCAGGGTTGTCATAATTCTCTGTCAACTAAACTAGTTTTAGTTGTTTTTGATTTTGATTGTAGATTCAAAATCACAAAATTAGAAAAAAGTAAAGCTTATTTGGATGCCGTAATAGCAAAAGAGCCATTAACCTCCCTGGAAATTATTTTTTATTTTTCTAAATGTTCCTTGCCTTTCAGCCAACTCTATCTAAAGCTAACCCAGGACTTTCTGGTAATGTAGAGTTAGATAAGGCATGTGGTGCCGGCGCTCAGACAATTGGTACCAATGATATACCAAATGGTGCCAATGCTAAACAAGTTGGTGCTAACGCCCAGACAATAAGTACCAATACCCAATCAAGTGAAAGAATTGATAACAATGCTTTTGAATCAGCTTTTGAGACCTGCAATATCATTGATGTGACAGACAATGCTATTGATGATGGTTCTGATAAGATTATTGCATTCAAACATAGAAGAGATGATGACATTGATGCAAATGAGTGGGTGAGATCTGAAGTAGAAAAATCTGAGGTGATATCTGCCACTGCTGACACCTCATCAATTGTGAGCAGTCCTATTGTTTCAAAATTTTCCAAACATGTTGCATTCAGTGGGAAAAAGCATGACACAAATGAAGTTAAACCATTTTCAGAAAACATCCAGACAACATCAGTTCCACTCAAAATTAACAAACCCCGCGAGAAGGATGATACTGGTATCACTAAGCATCCAACAGGTTATTCCTCTCAAAAAGTCAACAGCAGTACTCTATCACAAAAACAAAGATCTAAATTGAAAAAGAAAACTGGGGTTCATGCCAGGGATATGGCAGTTATTGTTGAAGGAAATGCAGAAAGTGTAAACCAAATAGATGAACTTCAGAACACTGCTGCACTACATGAAAGTGACAGTGATAATCTAAAAGTTGCAGATCAAAATGTAAAACATGATGAAAGCCAAGTTGAAAAAATTAAAGAACCTAGACAAACACTTGAAATGCAAGAAAATATCCAGGAGACAACATCTGATCAATTTAAAACCAACAACGAGAAACTTTCTAATAACGAGGATATCAAAAATGTTCCTAATCCAACTGAAAAAACTTGGTACAAAAGACTATGTAATCCTTTGACTGCTGCAGCAACTGTTGCTATAGTATCTGTTGCTATGTTTTACATGTTCCCTGAAGATACAGATTTGTTAACATGGTTACAAAGGAAATGACATGTGTGAACCAAGGAATATTGAATATGAAAGCTCACTGGCAATCTGAGCCTTCAGAATTATTTTACTTATATTGTATATATTACTTTACAACCTACATTCAACCCTTCCCAGGAAACAACCTCTCTATATTTTGGACAATACACATGTATTTCTGATTCTGAAGACAGACTCGATGATGTTATTGATCCTTCGTGATAATGAATTTGCTGCTGGCAAATATATATAGACTTTGGTGGTGGTAGACTATATTTATTTAACAGTAATAAGGAAAATGTGATAGCAGAAAATAAAATGGGAGATATTTATTAGTGAAAAATTAAACTGTTTCAAATTTTAAGCCATCCACAGAATACCAAATCTGAGGTTGAACTTCATTGCTTTTGTTATAAATGAATACTATAAATTCAGTGCAACGTATGGTGTCATTCATGAAAAGGCGAATTGTTTTGCAATTTTTGCAATCTTAGCCCCCAATAATCATGAGATGACAACATTAACTAGGTACAGCTTGGCTTATAGAAGCAAGACTGCATATGTGCAACTGTTCATGACATTAGCATGAAACTGCGTATGTTACTCCTGTGTGCAGTTCATCCACAGTGCTTATGATATTATTCTTCATTCAGTTCTACAAATACACATGTATATGATGAGTTGAGCTTACTTCAGCCTTTTCTTAAAATCCATTTGATTTGTTGTACTTCGAAATTATTATTCCCTAATAATCTTAATCAACTCTGTCCTATTTTGGGTACCACAAGGGGTCAACTACAGGTTGTATTCAAATTTTTATATGCACTTGAGACTCAGACTCAGGTTTTTAAACATTTTGGTAGTTTCAATATAAATACTCTATAGTTGACACCATATGAGTGACAATACTAACAGAAGTTGGATAAGAACCTACATTAAAGGCAATAATTATCATGGTAAGTTAAAACAATAATTAGAAGAGGTTTTACAATTAGTTTACAAATGGTTCTGGTTGGTTTAGGTATAGGCTAGAAATATGGATAGTCCTTCTATCGTCAAATCCTGGTATTGCCTTTGGCCCCTTGGTATGTTCTTAATTTATCCAAGGTGAAGTGGTCCTATTTGTGCTCTTATGTCAAGTATATCCTATGGGACAGAAAATATTGGTAAAAATATGTGTTTGAGTTTGATTTTGAGGCTATGGATAGGGTATGCTATTAAATGGATAGGGTAAATGTAAGTTTTAAAAAATCTCAAATTTTAATTTGATTGATTAAACCATGATTGATTAGTTATCCCATATATATAGAAATTATAGATAAATGGTGCTTTTATAGCTTTCAACCCAATTGGCTATTGGTGGCTTTTGTAGACTGATTAATTAATTGGAATATTATTTGATATAAGCGTAACTAATAAAGACTTCTTGAGAAGAGCTATGGGGGTTGCCCAACATATATTTGTATGATAATTCTGCAAAAGTAAAACTTGAAATTTAGTAGAATAGTCTCACTTGTTCATGAAACAGATTAGTACCTTAGATAAAAAACTATAAATGTTGTTCAATTGTATATTATTGCATGTTAATATATATGTCATTAATATAAGGCCATTGTTTTATTTCAGAATGAATGGAATTCTTATTGATGTTAGAATATATTGTTACAATATGTAACTTGATTGATACCTTTTGTAACAGGTCTGTTACATTTTGTAACATGATTGCTACAACATGTAACATGACTGCTACAATGTGTAACTAGACTGCTACAATATGTAAATAGTCTGCTGCAACATGTAATATATACTCCTTTGATGCATAGTAATTGTCTTATACTTTATTTCAGTGTCAGCAAAATGAGGAGAGGTCTCGTAAACTGCAGGCAGACTACCAGACCTACCAAGACACCCATCAATATTCCAACCAAGAGGTATGTATATGTTCATAGTTGTCTTGGTAACCAGGTAACCATTACAATAAAAATGTACACTTGAAGAAACCTCGAGCTTGTTGAAAGTCAAAAAATAATGGGATCTAACATTTGATTATTTCCATTTTTGTAGTTGATCAGTCGTGAAGACAGAATAGGTGCTCTTGAGTATGAATTAGATGAAACTCGCAATGAGGTAGAACAGAGATCTCGGAAACAAGTAGAACTGACAGACCATGCCAACCAACTTAAGGCCGACCTCTCACTAGTCAAAGAACAGAAAACTATTGTAGAAAAAGAGGTAAGGATTTACTGTATAGTACATGTGCATGTGTTTTATTTTCTGAATGTTCAGAATTGATATTGGGTGCATGATTTTTCACATCATGCGCGTAGTGGGTATCAAATGTTTTTTATTCTGAATATGTTTTGTCATACTTATGCAATCAGTTTTATTCAGTATCTATTTCATCACCTTTGATTTAAATTTTATTTCAAAATTCACTACATTCTCTCATACATTTGAATATCAGCATGGATATGAAGGTAGTGTTAACTGCTATTGATGAATTTCATTTGTTTTCACTGGGTCAGAAGTTTGAAAGTCAAGAGTAACATTATTTGAAATGATGGCTCTTCTATATGACCAGGACCTATAATCACCAAAATCACAATATTGGTTAAGATTACAGCAAGTTTAATTGCTTCTTGAGAAGCATTTTGACAAAACGTGTTCCGCAGTCAGAAATCCTTCGTTATGAAACTATCAAAAGAAGCAATTTAACCCTGCTGTATAAGAAGTACCATTTTCAAGAAACTACAGAATCACTCACAAAACTTTCACCCACTCCAGGCCGCACGTCTCGAATCAACCCTCCAGCAGTTACAAATCAACTTAGCCTCCGCCCACCAACGGCATAAGTCTGAGGTAACAAAACTAGAGGAGCATGTTCACGCACTTGAAACTGATCTCACAGATGCGAGAAAACACCTTCAGAATATGGAGCAACAGTTACAACAACAGGGGGATCATTTAGCGCAATCTGAGCAGGAACTTGGAAGGACGCGAGATGAATCCAGATCGAGGCTGGAAGAGGTATTGCATGATTTGGTCACAGTTTATTTTTCGTTGAAGTTTATTTCAAACACAGGTTCACTTTGTGTATGAACATTTTTATTGAACAAGGGTACCAAGTTGTGATTTCTTCAATTGTGCTAAAAATAGATGTTAATTTTTGTGTTTTATTAATAATATGGCACACTGACTTACATAAATATTTCTGAAATATTCAAATTATCAAGAACTCTGAGAACCTTGAACAATACAACAAGCAAGCTAAATATAACTTTCTCTTTCATACACTCCAATATTTGATTGACAGCTCTATTTTTGCACTTTCCATATTTGGCATGAAATTGATGGCCTGTGTTAAAACTCCAAGGTCAAGCTGATCTGGTCACTCTCTAAGACAATTTAAAAACTGAATTTTGACTGAAATTGAAAGATCCGGTCTTTATTTTTCTCAGTTAAAACATATTTATAGAAAATATCACCTTTCAAATCATTAATTACTGTCTAATACCAGTTTACTTGAGAAATTTTATCATAATTACTCTTATTTGAAATGAGGTTTTTGTAGCGTTTTGTAGGACCATTTTGTCAAAGAATATCATTGGAAGAACTATTTCACAATCTTCACAAGTTCAATGTTCCAATTGAATTTTTAATTAAATTTTATTATTATTTCATGGAAAAACCTTATGCCCTCTGAGTTAAGGATGACTTTTTTATTCATATTCATATGTCTTAATATTGAAACTAAGTGAATTACTTAAAATGATTTAGGATTGGATTTAGGAAGAGCTACATTCGATGAATACACACTTAAGAATTTACAAAAACTAATCACAATTTATTAGCATTTTTGTTGCAATATTTGATGTATCATACTGTTGTATATATAGAGATTATCCTATATGAGGTTCAGGTTATTGGGATTATCCCAAGGCCAGTATAATATATCTGCCTGAGGGCTGTAGGTCCCGATTATTAACAGGATGCTCCTTCCCCTCGATAAACCATCAAACAGATCCTGATTGCATTTTTTCCATTGTCATCTACAGTTATTATGCAAATGTCATAAAATGAACCAATATGCGAACTGCGATTATGATGTTGCTGGCAGATATACTATTTTGCATTCTTTGTGTTAAGATTGAGAAGCTTGAGAGTCATTTGAGAGAGCTGAAGAATACAGTGAGCAATGAACAGAGAGCTGCTAGACAGGGACAAAATCAGGTGAGATATAGCAACTACATTGTAAAATGAGAATTAAGTTGCAGCCTATTAGGCAGAGTGAAGTCAATAGTAAACTAATTAAAAACTAATTACATGTAGATTGGCTTACTGAAATGATATGCAAAGTGGTTTAAAAATTATTTTTCAGCAGTTTCCAGTAGAAATTGTCTTCATTATTCCTTCCTTTGACATTGATCTGTAAAACCTTTCCTTATTCATCAAAATAAAAGGATGATTATAAATTGCATCATCAGCATTCATGATAATTTTTTTATTTAGTTATTTATTTCAGATAATATCAATAAGATATTGACAATATCTTTGGATCAGTACATAGCAACATTTAGTGAATAACAAACAATGTATGAGTATTTATGTGTTTCTAGATTCAAGATCTTCAGTTGGAGGTTGAACATTCTCGAACAGATCTCACTGAGGCAAGATCTCAATATAAAGACTGCGCACAAGAGGTAAGATCATACAAAATTATATATTTATCTTGTCTTTTGTCTCTTATATATGACCTCCAACACCAGCACACATACAGTGCCCACTACGATAACAGTCAACATTATGTAGAGCTTGATGTACATACAAAGGAATGTACTGTATATGAAGGTGACCGCTGAGCCAACACTTTGCCACATTTTGTAGTTCGCAAATGCAGCCTCATTGTTTCCCATGAACATTATCCCTACAGAAGCTGCAAAATAGAAGAATAAGGTTAAAACTGAAATCCTGAATAATGAATGGTTATCTATGACATTGATATAGGTGTCATAAGAAGTGGATGTGACATCAGGTGTACCAATAACTTTTGGATGAACAGAGGTTGTTTACTGGGAGGGTTTGAATATGGGTTATACACCATAAGCCGACAAGATATTAAACAATGGATCAAAGTTTGGACATTGATAATGGGGAGACTATTTCAATTCCGTACTTGTGATACCAATCTGAAGTGCTGCACCTCCAGCCCCTTGTAGTATGATAATAATGAAGAGAAGATAGAGCTGCCTGTCCAACCACTGCCATAGAAGAGAAAGCACGACTGCTGCCCCACAACAAACAATGCCTGAAAAGGAATGATGAATAAAAGCAATTCTAGTATATGCATAAGGGTCCATCTGAGTTGGGTAAAGTTCAATGTTGCAAGTTGAGTTCTTACCTATCATAGTAGCGGCTAGCCGTCCAATGGCCTTGACCCTGCCTATCACCATGGAGATAAGGCCAAATGCAACACCAAAAGCCACGACAAAGTAACCCACCATCCAGATGCCTTGGCTGCATGCAACATAGGCCTAGAATATAAACCACATTCAGTACAACTAATTTCTATGCTGGAAAAGTATTATCTATTTCATGATTGAATGGACAATTTAAGGCAAATCAGCATAATGAGAACTTTCATGATCACAAATACCAATAAAAAAGAAACAGGAAAAAAGTAGATATTAAAGTAGAATGCATAGTCTTACTAGAATCAAAACATTTTGTTCACACTATATTGAAATGACATTTCCCCAATATCTATTTTGCTGAAAGTGTGAAACTACCTAAATGCATCCACATGGAGTGCCTTTACCTGGGTAAATTCTCCAAATATAAAAGTGACGATTGTTCCATTTAGCATTGATAAGGGTATGATCAACAACATCTTTACATCAAGACAGAGCTGTAATGTTGCTATCAGCATCGTTGGTTGTACCCTCTCCTTCCATCCATTTGGGTGATCGCCAACGTTGTTAGTATTTTCCCAATGTTTTGCATTTGTTTCATCAGTTATAAGGCCTTCAGTGTAAGTATTTTCTCCATATGATTTGATTGCAACTGACACTTCTTCCTCATTTTCATCATTTGCTGCTTTGAAATGACCAGAAATAGTTTGATAGTTTTTTGATGGGTTTGAAATCTCAGATGTGTGGTCACTATGAATTAGAGGTGTTTTCTCCTCTTGTGCGTTAGGGACTTTCCCATCTTTGGTTGCCTTTTTCTCATAGTCCAGCTTCTCCAGTGCAAATATCATTAGCAATGCAGCAGACAGGCAGAGTACTATGAAGATTATCATCAGAAGTTGGATCTGGAAATACAATTACTCAGTTAATCCATTCATAAATATGGATGCATAGTTGTCAATGGGAAAATACCAAAAATGGTCACAGAACGCAGCCAGAAAGAGAAAACATCTAAAATTACACAAGTTAGAAGGAAATCACCCTACAATATCCCAAATAAACTAAACACAATTTTCACAATGATAAAATCACAAGATCTAAAATTGATTTATTGTCATATGAAGAATGAGACCACCTAAAACTAAACACAATTTTTAATTATTGAGATATTAATCATTGAAGTTATAATAAGTACCAGTTCTTCTGGAGGCCTTGAGAGGTTATCATTTGTTGCATTATACACAGCTGGGCAGAACTCAGGTCCACATTTGTCAAGCTCATCTTCAGGTATTTCTGTGGTGTTGTCGTTGTTATTGAGAAGAACAGAGCCGGCAATGTTCCCTGCTATAGTGGCTGAAATAAACATTTTGTCATTACATTATAAAGTACATGTAATTATACATACATTTTGATATCTGATCTTTAATACATTATGAAGAAGCAAATAAGGTAAAACGGGAACAAATGACAATACATGGACATATTTGAAAACATTGATTTGCAAAAATTTCAAATATCTGAGATTGCAGGACAAATAAAAATGTAAAAACAATACTCATTTTTCTATATTGGGTGCTGCATATCAAACTAAACTTAACAAACCAAAGATTTTAAATAAGCATCCTGGAACTTGAGACATAGTAGCAACTGGCTGAAAATTATGATTTTACTGGACTTGTTGGTCTTTAAACTTTTGATACCCTATATCTCTGTGCATTATAAATATCAATTTTTTCTAGTTTGTCGTTCATCATTCGTGCTGTACTTACAAAAAGCAAACATGAAGTAAAAGAGACTAAGTAATTCCGCAATCATTTCTTCACACGACTCCCCACTGATCTCACTATACATCCTTGCTGACTGTGTCGTGTACGTTGACTGCGCCGTCCACAAAGTACCCGCTGAAATCCCACAAATCACTGCACCTGGGATAATTGTCCACCAGGTGGCGTATAAATTAGCTGCGGGAAATACGGCATATCCGATAAAACTGATTCCCATTGTTTTTGTACATCCAAAGTGTTTGATACAAAATTTTGGCAAGAATATTGTAGAAGGTATCAGAACACTATATATGACAGCAAGGCCAGTTGTGCCGAGACCATCCTCAATATTGATTGACGTCTGAAGAGAAGCCAGTGCAGTGAATGCACTGAAGTTTAGAATAAATCCTACTCCTAGAATTAATGTGTTCTTGTATGCTTTTCGTTTTGCTAATTTTATGGTATCCATCTTTTCCAGGTGTTGTATAGGTGATATCTTGGTGTTTAATAGGTGATATTTAGGTGTTCTATAGGTGCTTTTTATGTGTATTTTTTAATGTTTGTCTAAATACAATATCTTATATAACATGTACTTTGCAGTATGATTTATTAGTCTATATACTAGCACATGTTGAATGAAGACTTTTTTATCTCAAAGACATTGTGATAAAATGTACTTATCTTAAGTTTATTAGGTCAACAAGAGAGAAAACAAATATTTGTACATATGTACCTATAATCGGCTTGTTATCTTAGTTTATGTTTTTGCAGTATTTAACACAATTTTATCGGTTAATCATATATAATAGTACAATACCAGTATCATAATCAGCTGGTCCTTATCTACAACACTAACAAAAGTGACATGCCCATCAACACCCCCCCCTCCACTCTTTAATTACTAAATGCACTGGCATTGATTTCTTTAAATTTTATGTTGTCAAATTAAATTTAAAAATTTTCCCAGTTTTCAATTTTTGTATTTCCAGTTGGCCCATCATGAAGAAAAATTGATGATAATGGAACAGAGTCTCGCAACCACACAAGACCAGCTGAGCCAAAGGGTAACGGAGGTTGTACGCCTCGAACAAACTGTACGCAAACACCAAACTGAATTAAAAACTCTCCGAGAGCGCAGTATGAGCTACGAAGAGGAAATTGAAGATCAGCGTAACTCTATCGAGAAATTACGTAAAGACGTCCTCGTCTGTAAAGAGGAGACCCATAATGCAATACAGGAAGGGATGACCTACAAAAATCAGGCTCATACGGCAGAGGTTGAGCTAGAAGGTCTCAAAGATCAAGAGAAAATGCTGACAGAACAGGTATTTACATTTCAGTGATCATATTTATTAAAAAATTAAAAAACATATGCAAAACTCTAATTCCTAAGAGTTTGTAAAAACTTGATTCAGAAGTGTATCTTCTTAGTGTTTCCTTAGAACAAAATGTGCTTTTATCAAATCTTAACAATGGATACTTTTAATTAAAAAAAGTATAACTAATATGGAATACTTTCTAAGTGCTAGAAAAGTAATATGCGATGCATTAAACTTAAAATGTTCTAAATCATAATCTATCGCAAATATGGAATATGGTTTATTTGTATTTTATAAGTCCTAATATGAATTTTTCAAATGTGAAAAACCTGTGTCATCTGAATGCCACTCAGACCATCCAAAAATGTTGTAGTTGCTCACATTTCAAGGTTTCTGTAAGGTTTCTTTCACAGAGAGAATATGGGAAAATACAAAAATGTGACTGAGAGAAAGTGTTCATATTGAGAGGTGTTTGCATCATAGATGTGTTCAGATATACAAATTTTACCGTACTTTCTAAATAAATATTCTTTATTTCTAAAACTGGAATACATTATGTGCATAGGTTGAACAGCAGGAATCCGTGCTCACACAACTCCAGGCTGAGTTGAATGCAGAGAGATTGCGACAACAAGACACGTCGCGGCAGCTCCAACAATACAAGAATATGACATCAGAGCTTGAAGATGAGGTTGAAAAATACCAGAAGCAACACCGGGAGAATGGAAATAAGGTATGCAAAATTTTCAACTTCAGTGATGTAGCTCATTGTATCACTTGGGAATTCTCCAAGGAGGACTTTGGCATGGTCAGCGCCATCTATTATTTTTGATTTAAATAGTTAAACGGGCAGTGTCTATGATTCTCATCTTAATAATCCTAAAATATTTTTATTCATAATAAAGTTTCAAAGCTAACTGAATTTAAAATATATTTTGGAATGGGGGCTATTCCTTTCTAAACAGTATAGAGGATAGATGGTGCTGACTGTGCCCTTTGCATATATAAGAACAATAAAAACAATGTTTTGATTTCAGATATTTAATAATATTTCCAATTTTTTCTTAAAACTACATTTCTAAGAATCTTCATGGGAATCTAGTAGAGTGAAGCACTTTTTGTTGAGAGTTGCATTTTATGATTTAGATTATTTTATTTATTTTTTAATTCTGGTAATTTGGGATGTAGTGAAGCACATGAGGTTATTAAAACTATGAATGCATGTGACTTTTAAACTGTCCATCTTTAATGATGTATATGTACTGTTTGTCATGTAGTTTTTATATGTAAGGGGCCGTGTCAAATTCTAACTTTTTATGAAAGTAATTTAAAAAAAGCCTAATATGGATTTTGAAAGACTTCAATGCAAATAAAAGATAAACTTTCAATTTCAATGATGTTTAGCTTCAAAAATGGTCTTTTATTTTGCAACCAAATTACTTTCAAATTAAAAGTTAATGACTCGGCCCCTAATTATCTAATAATGCTTGTTTTAATATAAATTTCTTGAAATTGATTCACATACTTTAACTTAATTGTGTGCTTTACCAGGAAGAGCTGCTGATTTCTCAAAGTTCAATTGGTTCAGAGCCAGAGCAATAACCTGTCAAGAGTTACCCCCCCCCCTATTCTCCCCATCGACCCCCCCCCCTTCATGGTTATATGGAATTCATATATCAATTTTGGTTTCTTTTGAAAAAGTTTAGATTCTAGTCATACCTCATAAGTAATCATAATATGCTTATTTTTATTCAATTTGATGTACATAGTATTTAGATGTAATATTTACCTATATTGTTGTAAATATGAAGTTATTTATGCTATTTGTAGTTTTGTTTTAATGTATATTTATTTATTGTACGAGTGCACATTATCGGAAAGTCATTGTAAAATATCATCCGCTAAAATAGTTCATAGACATTTTACAATCTATACTCCTGGTATTTAGCCTCAAAACTCTCACAATACCTGAAAATATTCTCTACATGGATGACTAGTTTTGGAATTTTTGCTGACTGGGTATTTTGCCCTCCTTGTGTGTTATACCACATATAAAAATAAGATCAAGGAAATATATCCAAAAATCATGAAACTCAGACAAAAATTAAAAAGGAAATATCCAATTGTAGAAAAACAACTCAAATTCAAAGTCCCAAACCATTTATCATTCTCAAATACCAATCAACTTTAAAAAAAATACTCAAGAACCCCTTCCCTACCCTCGTCTCCACATATGCTATTTATACACTCTTGACAATAAGTTTTGTGATGTCTTCTGGCCAGTTGATGTATAGTGGAGGAGTAAAAAGGTATATTTGATCGGTGGCGATTGTTTCTGACTCACAAGTATTGATGTGATGGTTGCTATGCTGGTTGCTATAGTGCTATATTTTCACTAAGATATCCATCCACTCATTATATTGCTTTCCAAAAAATTTCACTTCAAAATTATTTCATATTTTCAGCAAATGCACTAACTGATCTTGAGTTATTTTTTCACAAAGTCCAAAATAAAACAAACACAATTATGAAATATCACAGATGAATTATAGCAACATCATTTAATTCAATTTTTAACTATAACACAAGCACGTATTTGAAATAAATCAGATATCTTAATGAGAAATGGTTTAAATTTTTTGAATGGCTTTCCTGAAATTCTACCAACATTGTCCCAGAAGTTATGCATTTGTGTTCAAAAAATTGAAATGGGTGTTTGAAAATGTTAAAGGGGTGTTTAGATATGTGAAAGGGGTGTTTAAAATTTGAAGGGGATTTAGAATCTGAAAGCGCATTTAAAATGTGAAAGGGGTGTTTTAAAATGTGAAAGCTTTTGAAGGACTGTTCTTGTAGATGCTATGAAGGGAGTTGGGTTTCAAGTGGAGATTTTGGACAGGCTATTTTAAATGATTGAATTCTCTCTAGAGCATAGTTTGGCTCTGCATGGCTTTGGGCTGTTTATTGTACAGGGTGGTCAAAAAATGGAAACTCTGTCGCCATTTTCCTCATATCTTTGTCATTTTAGGGAATTACTCCCTGATATTTGTACACATTTGTACATCATTCAATTTCCTACCGGCCTACTTTATTTCATGACCATCAAATTGATAGTCACAATGTTACAGCACTTTAAACAACATGCTCCATTGGCCAATATTGCACTTTCGGCAAACCTGCACCTATCATCCAAAATGTCCCTACCTAACTTCAACCTGTGGTGATACACCAAAAATGAGTGTACGAGAATAACCCCAGGACAACTGCACACCTCAAAAAGCAGATCATCCATGTCATTCAGGCCATACCTGCTGAAAAATGTAGATCATTGACAACCTGTTCAGATTTGCCAATAGCGCGATGGTAGCCACACTGGGGCATCTTGTTCAAATTGCTGTACCATTGTGACTATCAATCTGATGGTCATGAAATATGGTTAGCTGGTAGGACATTGAATGATGTACATGTGTGTCAAATTTCAGGGAATGATTACACAAAATGACGAAGATATGAGGAAAATGCAGGGTTTCCATTTTTTGACCACCCTGTATATTGCTCAATATGTGTATTTGGTTTAAAAGTTGTCAAGTCTTTCTAGATGAGTTCCTTGATGGTTGTTTCATTATTATTTAGATGTTTTGTCATTTATTTGGGCAACCAATGTTATTATAATATGATTAGATTGAGCTTGGATTTAGGGCATAAAATCTAATTTGATGGATTAAGATGTAAATAAGCCATAGCATGTATAATTAGAATAAATGGATATTATTAGTTATTCATTTCATTTGGGAAATATAGGTTTACAAAACTCATTTTCATATGATATAGAATGGTACACTGCTACTAACATAACATTAAACTGTGTTCTTGGTATGGCTGGCACGGAATGGAATCATTATTCAAACCATCAGATTCTATTTTTCCATATTATGTATTTGAAAACAAGCAATGAGTACTTGAGCTTATATAGAAAGCCAATTAAATCCAAAATTCTGTAAGTTACGGATTCAGAGGGCAAGTTTCGAAATTCACTTCATTCCAATTTTGTTCTGTGCCAGCCCTAGTTCTGGATGAATTCCTTATTTGGATATTATGGGTGTGGCTATGTTTTATTGACAGGATAATAGCATGGAAAGCGTTGCCATATAAGTCACCCTGAAACAAAATGCCTTGATGTTTTCTCTTAGAATGTACAAACAAGAAGTTAAATGATAATTATACGCTTATTTGCAAGGGTGGAAGTGCATAGCTAATACGCATGGTGATATTGCAAGTGAGATGGTTACCCAGAATTCATTAACAAAGCATGATGCGATGAATAATTAACATTTTTTTAACCCTGGATTAGTGTGGTAAATAAAATTAGACTTGATGCAAAATAAAATTATTGCAATGAATTTCTTAATATAAAGATTGCTAACTATACTTTATTTTCAGTTTCTATGCCATTTATTTTTTAATTGAATCTAATTTATAATTGTCAAGAATTCACAAGTTCACAGTTTCGATTTCAAGCATTGAATCATTATGTTTTTCAGTTGAAGGACCGTGAGAATCATATTGACCAATTGCGTGATGAGATAGATTCGCTGCAGGACAAGGCAAGGGGTCTGCGTGAAGAACTTGCTGAGAGAGATGGGCAGCTACGTGTGGCTCGTATGAACCTTACCACGTCACAGAAGCAGAATCAGCACCACTCACAGGAGGTATGCATGTTGCTACTCATATTTTTATTTCACCACCAAAAAGTGGGTATCAACTTTTATCGTGATTTTCTGGGTACTGATATTTGGTCATGATAATGGTTTTTGAAATAGATGAGTATTCTCTTCAGGATCTTCAAAAACACAGTACCGTATTAAACACAAAGAGCGCCCTTGTTGCTTTTGAAATTTTAAATCCATATTAAACTCAGTTGTGTTCCTCCGTATTCAGTAAGTTTAAGTGATACCGTCCTTTTTTTTTACTTAAGAACATTTCCATAGCTATCAACACTAATTTTGGTCGCTATATTCAATGTCTTTAAATAATAGTCTGGACACCTTTTGTATCTTAACGTAAAATTTTTATTTTAGGTGGCTCGCTATGAAGAAACTCTTGCTCAACTTTCAATGGAGCTGGAGTCTTCCAAAGAACAGTACAGAACAACACAAAGTCAAGTAAGCAATAGGATTGTCCTGAAAATAATATGAATAAGTTTAATAAAAAGCTTTTTTATGCCTTTAAAAACATTATTTTATCTTCTAGAGAGAGGTGTGTTTCTTTTTCCCCATAAATAATTTAACAGTGGATTTTTGGCCTTGGTGCTTTGGATCGAAATACTTGCCCTGTTTCACTCATTTTCATCTTTTTCTAAATAATACATCAGTTCTATACAATGTTTAACAACAAGAATGTAATTCACCTAAAGTGATTCAAATCAACATGTTTCTCAGATGATGGAATCTGACCAAACTGTCCAAGATTTACGTGTCCAGCTTACCACCGTGCAAGGAAACCACAAAGAGGCTATGGAACAACTAAGCGACCAATCAAAAACCATCACCAATCTGAAAACGGAACTCTCCCGCAGTCAACAACAGAGTGAGGGACTTGCGGAAGAACTGGCTCTCTATGAAGATAAGATGAAGCGACTGAGACAAGAGCTGAAGAAAGTACAAGAACTTAACAGACAGTCTGAAGATGAGGTAATACACACATGCATTGAATATTATGATTTTGACTTTCATGTCTCTCACCACATAGTGACATATATCTATGTAGCTTCCATTTGAGCGTTGGTTGATGTTCAGTGTCAGCGTTTGGCCTCTTTAGCAAATTGATAGACTTTTTTTAACCGAGTAGTGACATTTTGACAATGTTATTGCTTGTTTTTATGTCACAACCAAAGAGTGGTGACATATTTTTATGTTCTCTGTTTTTTATTTTTTTCTGATGGCAGATGGCATCTGCAACAAATGGTGGTGACATTTTGCATGTTAATATATTCCTTGTTTAATACAACAACAAATCAATGATGTGTAAAATAGCTAAAGTGACTTGTCTTTATTCTTTGGTATTATGTTCTGGCATATTGTTATAGCCAACATTTGGTGATTGGCATTTGTTTTTGTGCTTTTCAGTTAAACAACTATGAAAGGAGACTAGATGAGTTGAACAGAGAGGTGAACCACAGCCATAGTAAAAGTCAGCAGAGCCTGCAAGAGAACTCTTTAAAAGAGGAGGAGATTGTTGTCCTAAAGGTGGAGCTGTCATCACTTCAAGAAAAATATAGGAATAAACTCGATGAGGTTTGGAATTCAATATTTTGAATATGTTTTAAAATTACAAATTGGGTTTAACAAGAAATGTTTTAAGTTTCGTCTATCTGCATTATTATTTTTGAATTAGTCTGCAGATTCAACAATTGGAAAATACACAATTTTATAATAAATTCATCGATGTTTGATAAATCATTGTGTGTCTGTTTCTAGACCATAACATTATTTTCAAGGTTGAAAGGCTTAAAAGTGATATGGAAAACATGAAGAGAAAATACAGTGACGCAAATGAAGAAATCTCAAAGTTGCGACGATCCCTTGATGAATCCCGCACAAATACTGATAAACTACAGCACGAAAGTGAGGTTGTTGTTCAGAACGTGAATACTTGGGTCACAGAGCAAAAGTAAGAGACGTTTAAATCACATTTCTGTTTCACTATTCGTACATGTATATGATAAAATTATCAAAGTGATAGAGTTCAAGTTACAAGGCTTTGAAATTATTCAACATAAAAACGAGCATTTCTGTAAGATAAATCCAATCTTAGAACAAATAGATTGTGGTTTAAATTCATAAATTGCACTTAACTGTTGCAATAGTGCTATTATTATTTGCCATGTTTTTTACTAATTTAGTTTTTTCATCATTTTATACGTCACCAGCTTTTGTGGTTGATCCTATTCACTGTTTTCTAGCTTTATCTTTGTATTTTGATGTTTTGTTTTAAAATATCAATATGCCTATTAATGTTTTGAATTTGGCAATCACTCTTTTGGACTAAACTTTTAAATGGTATGAGATATCTTATTATGGCATTTATCTAGACCTTTAAATTAAAAGTTCAAAATTTCCAAAAAATTGCAATAACACATTCTCTCATTTGCTTCGATCTTCAACATGGCGCCTGGTCGATTAGTATTTCATCAAAACTGAATGCAATTTTGAACAAAATACTCATCACCTGGGTGCTGGTACTGAAAATCTGAGCAAATGTGACCATGGCATTACACACAAATAGATTCCCTAGAGAAAGCACCGTCTTCTATATCATTATTTTCTCACTTACAGACACGCTAATGAGAAGTTGGGAAACAAAATTAGGTAAAATTTGTTTATTTAAAATAATTTCTCGCAATGTTTCACTCATTTCCTTACCATTAATAGCCTGTACAATAAACAACTTAATTTTAGATCATCCTCAAAATTTTTTCTATTTTCTTTCTTTGTGTAGCTTTAGCTTTTAGATGTGTTAACAAAATATTGTAAAATCATATTTCTTAGAATATAATATGAAATTATATTCAATTTATTCAGGTCTCAAAGCAAAGCCTTGAATGCAGTGACAGCAGAGAAAGAGTGAGTATTAAATAATTTTCCATAATTTCTCACACAAATAGTTTACTTTTAACCCTCAATATCAAAATGTGTGCAACTTTTGTTTTCATATTTTATTTATAGTTACTTATACAAGATTTTCTTTAATTTTCTTTACAGTTTAGAACCTTTATCTCTCACTCATTCACTTTATTCACAAATACTGTTCATTTTGTTTTACCTTTTGTGATATCAAAATTATTTCTCATCCAATCACCCTTAGATACAACTATGTTGAGCATTGTGATAAATATTATGGTTTAGATATGTTATACGTTTGTTGTTTTCAGTCACTTGTCTAAGAGGGTTGCAGAGTTAGGTCAAGAAAATGGTCGTCTCAAGCTAGAGCTTGAAGAGAAGAGACACGATGGAGATAGATTCAAGGTAATATTAATTCTTAACTCTCATCTTTGGAACTGAAAATATCCTACTTACACCACAGAACAGCATTTCAGTAGTTTTACTACAAAGCTAGTGATATTACCCCACAAAACACTGTTAAACGGTCAACTTCTGAAATATTGTTATTGTTGCCTATACTACATTTTAGGGTAACTTCCATACCTTTTCAGGCCTATTAATGTTTTGAATTTGTCAATCACACTTTTGGACTAAACTTTTAAATGGTATGAGATCTTATTATGGCATTTATCTAGTCCTTTAAGTTAAAAGTTCAAAATTTCCAAAAAATCACAATAACACATTGTCACATTTGCTCCGATCTTCAACATGGCGCCTGGTCGATAAGTATTTCATCAAAACTGAATGCAATTTTGAACAAAATACTCATCGACTGGGTGCTGGTACTGAAAAGCTGAGCAAATGTGGCCACAGCATTACACACTTAAAGATTCCCTAGATTGATTGATCCACTCACTGAACTGGTCACCCTTTGCAAAATTGATAGTTGAAATCATGCAATAATAGGCTCCGTCTCTGAGTGAACAACTTTTTGAGGCCAGGGTTTTATTTTCATTCACAAAATCGCATTAAGCGGCAAATTGACAAATTCTTGATGCGTCAACAATTATGTCACGTGACATGAAAAGGTTGTTCTGAAGTTGAAATCAGTTTTGCCAAGAAAACAGATCTGTGTTGACTTTATAACTCCAATAACAGAATAAAATGAAATTTTGGGATTTTAGTTGTTCACCATCTTAAAGAGTGACCTCAGTAAGGTAATGTAGCATGTGTGTAATCTAAATCAAGTAAAGTGGTTTTAGTACATCTTTAAGCAATTTGGTAAGGTCTTCTGAATGTTCTTTTGTAGATTTCGAGTTCAGTGGTAATTTTTAGGTTGTACAAGTGTTTGTGTTATGTAAATGATTGTTCCATTGTTTAATATTAATAATTGTTCCAATGTGTTATATAAAAAATAGTGTTTCTGATGTAATGATGTTCCCTCATATAATATAAATGATTGTTCCATTGTGCGATATAAATGATTGTTCCATTGTGCAATATAAATGATTGTTCCATTGTGCAATATAAATGATTGTTCCATTGTGCAATATAAATGATTGTTCCATTGTGCAATATAAATGATTGTTCCATTGTGCAATATAAATGATTGTTCCATTGTGCAATAGAAATGATTGTTCCATTGTGTGATATAAATGATTGTTCCATTGTGCAATATAAGTGATTGTTCCATTGTGCAATAGAAATGATTGTTCCATTGTGCAATATAAATGATTGTTCCATTGTGCAATATAAATGATTGTTCCATTGTGCAATAGAAATGATTGTTCCATTGTGTGATATAAATGATTGTTCCATTGTGCAATAGAAATGATTGTTCCATTGTGCAATAGAAATGATTGTTCCATTGTGCAATATAAATGATTGTTCCATTGTGCAATATAAATGATTGTTCCATTGTGCAATAGAAATGATTGTTCCATTGTGCAATATAAATGATTGTTCCATTGTGCAATATAAATGATTGTTCCATTGTGCAATAGAAATGATTGTTCCATTGTGTGATATAAATGATTGTTCCATTGTGCAATAGAAATGATTGTTCCATTGTGTTTTACAAATGATTGTTCCCTCATGTAATATAAATGATTGTTCCATTGTGTTTTATAAATATTGTTCCATTGTGCAATATAAATGATTGTTCAATTGTGTTTCAGGCCTTACAGGACCACTCTAGTCATCAACAAGTATTGCTTCAACAGCTGAGGGCACGTTTAGAAGAACATGAGTGAGTTGACTATTTCAATCAATTAATTCACTGCACTTGTTGTAGTACAGGATGTATATAAGCTAGTTGTCTAGGACTAATTAGTCATACTGCCTCCAACAATGACGACCAGGATTATTTTTTCAAATGTTATATGGTTTTATTTGACTAAGAGACAATAAAATCTACTGTTTTTTGAAACCATTTGCAGTAACATACCAAAGTGTTGACATTTTGTTATTTTGATATGAAGCAATCTAATAATTTAAATCGTTAATTTGATTGTGTCTTAAAATTGAAATCTCTCCATCCAGGAATGATCAAGATACTGAGATCCAACAAAAGATCAATACGATCGAAGATCTTCACACGCGCCTGCGTCAAAACGTTGACAACGTTCAACAGCTGAATCTTCAACTCTCAAACTTACAGCGTGAAAATCTCAAAGTGCGAGCCGATTTAGAACGGGAAATATCCTCAAGGCAGACCCTTCAGCTCCAGGTCGAGAGTAAGGATCAAACAATTCAGAATTTGAAAGTTCAGATGGAGGCTAGATCTTCTCACCAGGGGGCAGCACAGAGTGTTCATGTTCGTATTTTTTCATGTTTGATTGAATACAAATTAGATACATATAAAATATAATAGGGCGGTATTGGCTACATGTTTAAACAGAACTTTTATGTGAATGTGTAGAATTGTGGTCCTCTGTTCTTCGTTCATTTTATTTGCAATAGAGTATAAGGGAAAGTAGTTATAATTAGGTTCAAGGAAGAACCAATCGAGAGATACAAGTTCTCTTCAAACATGTAGCTTAACCTCCTTATTGACTGCTCATACTACCAAAATGTAAAACCAGATAAGAAATTAAAAATTTATATTCTCTTAAGCGTACCATTAAAAACCCATGGACAAAAATTAGTGTAAAAGAAAAAAAACTAAGAGTTGTAACTATGTTGAAATAATAAATATATGATACGTATATAACCTAACAGATTATTCCAGGCTTCTAGTATTTATTTAGACTTCATAGAATTAAATGCTTTCCCTTTTAGGATTCTGCCTTTAATGCATCAGACTCTGCCTACCTATCAAGCTTAGATAGAGGCAAACTTAGCCAACATTCTACAAAGGTACATATCTTTAATAGAATACTGAAGCACACATTCCTGCATTCTCTCGCTCAGCTGCCCACTCTCATTCCACACTACACGTAGTTCTTTCATTTTGAATCTCTTATTTGAATGACTTCTGGTTCATGACTTCTTCAACTATAATATTCTCTACTGCTTACTTGTCCCACACTTGTTTCGCTTTTAGAAATATGCATTGGATATCCAATTAACATCCATTGGATATCTGATTAACATCCATTGAATATCCAATTAACATCCATTGAATATCCAATTAACATGCATTGGATATCTGATTAACATGCATTGGATATCTGATTAACCCGAATATCTGATTTCTTATTAACCTGAATTTCTGATTAACCTGAATATCTGATATCTGATTAACCTGAATATCTGATTAATACACATTGCATGTCTGATTAACACACATTGCAATTTTTGATTATTATCATGCTTTGAATATTGTATTCATATTTCAACATAAATCTTACTTGACTAATAAGTAAAATTGTATAAAATAGATATCCTTAATGCCTGCTTAACATGAAATACATGTTTATGTTCACTTGAATAGTTTGAGAGATAGTGTCAAAATTTTGGCGAACATAAAACTTCACAAGACATTGAAGTCTCCTTCTGGCTGTAGAAGTCTATTAGAGAAAGGGTTAAAAAGCAAAAATAGAACAAATTTCGTTTTCACATGTATTTCGACACTATCCCAAACTTGTCTTGAGTTAATATCACGACTGAATTCAATCGCTTTTGATGTGTGAAATAACATGGTATAGAATATCTAATTTAACACATTCAATGTTTGTTCTAGACTCTAACAAGTTCACCATATCCACCTAGATACCAGACTGCATGTAAGTTAACATTTGTTAAGATTGCAAACGGTGTAACATCATCATCTCTATGTATATGAATTGTGGCTTTGGTTGTATCTCATGAAAAATCACTTTGAATATATTTAATACCAGTAACTATAGAGGTACAAAACTACTTTGTTTAAAATTAATTGATAAATATGGTTGGTGTAAAACTGGAACTAGGTACTGAGGTGGTAGTTCAAAGCTGGTTTCCATGACCATATAACATGTACAGGGTGAGCCAAAAATGTCAAAAAAGAAAATTAATCCATAATATAAAGCACAAACTAAAGGGTAGCATTTGAAAAGCAAAACAGATGAATTACATGATGGCAAAACCAAATCATCATCTCAGACCAATCATTGTTTAAAATAAAATCTTATCTCTTTTTGTCTGTTACAGCCCCAGAGCAAAATAGCTTCAGACAGAACTATGGACCAACTCAGTGGGGGCACAGATCAACAGCCCCATGATCCAAATATATGGATGCAGCGTGTAGGAGAGGTAATTCAATCCCATCATTCACAGACTGGGCTTACATAAAATTCAAGCAAGATAATCTATTGTTTGTAACTCAAAACAAAATATGGTTGATTCTAATTTTCAATGTTAGATGAGTATTAATGATAAGTCTGCAGATATTTTTATGTCACCTCCTAAAGTGGTGACATATTGTCATAGTCTCCAACTTTTTTGTGTCGGCAATTTGTGTTTGGAGTTTGGTGTCTGTAACAAATGACAGGTGGTGACATTTTGCATGTTAATGCCTTGTCTATAAATATTTTCCATACTATTCTTGATAGCTGGACGATTGAGATAAATTATGACTTTACATTTAATTCTTTAATTTCAGTTATCCCTGCAGCTTCAACAAAGCAATGAACATTGGTCCAATAAAGTCAATGAACTTTCCTCTCAGTTAGAGCGCAGTCGGTCAGGTTCTCCAGGTCCTAGGCATTAAAGTCCCCTTAGAGGACAGAAAATACGGGGGAATCATATTTCTGCTGGATTATTCAAGTAGAACAAAATTACAGGTGCTATGTGTTATATGAAGTGTGTATTAGAACCCATGGAGGACCTTAAACACTAGCAGATAAAGTGGACCCCAAACACTGGCTAAATAGATAGACTCTAGAAATAGCGATCTACATGTACCGGAAATACTGACCAATTAAGTGGCCCCTCAACACTGGCAAACTAATGACATACTAAACATTGGTCAACTGAAGGGACTTAAATTATTGGTTACTTAAATGGGGCCTAAATACTGGCCAACTATGTGGTGGTTAATTAAGTGGAGCCTAAATACTGGCCAACTATGAGGTGGTTACTTAAGTGGAGCCTAAATACTGGCCAACTATGTGGTGGTTACTTAAGTGGAGCCTAAATACTGGCCAACTATGTGGTGGTTTACTTAAGTGGAGCCTAAATACTGGCCAACTATGTGGTGGTTACTTAAGTGGAGCCTAAATACTGGCCAACTATGTGGTGGTTGCTTAAGTGGAGCCTAAATACTGGCCAACTATGTGGTGGTTACTTAAGTGGAGCCTAAATACTGGCCAACTATGTGGTGGTTACTTAAGTGGAGCCTAAATATTGGCCAACTATGTGGTGGTTACTTAAGTGGAGCCCAAATACTGGCCAACTATGTGGACCCTAAACACTATCAAATTGTGTTGACTCTTAAAACTAGCCATCCAAGTTGGCCTTATTGCTGGACAATCTATTGGGATTTGAACACTGGCCAACAGAGTGGACTTTAATTACTGATTTGTCTTAAGTGGACTCCTTACACTGTCCAGTTAGAGAGACCAACATATGAACCTGTAAACTTTGAACCGTAGTAGAGTGAGTTGGATATCTAAATATATTATTGTTCATAATAAGGAGGACTTTGAATACTGGTGATGTTTGTCCCAGATTGATGCAGACATTATATACCAGACCCTGTGTTTGCTGGTTTAACACAGGAATCACCATCTGACTTCTGTAAATGAGGATCTTAAATACTGGTGAAGGACTCAACTCAAATGCTCAATGTGATGATAACACTGACAATCTTATACCAGAATCCTGCATCAACAGCAGCTTAAACATGTGACTTAATTTGTAAAATTTCATCAGAAGATCTATATTTCTACTTTTGTACTAGATTAGGCGAGACTAAAGCTCAAAAGATTAGAGTAGCTTAATGAGTAAAATACAATAGATTTAAAATAGTTTAATCATCGAGGGTCATTTCTGCAAGCATTCTGTACTAAGGATTACTAAGTACATTAATGTAACCATGGATATTATGATGTCATAGTTAAGGGACAGTGGACTTAAGTCTTATGAATGTTTACTGAAATGGTTCCCATATTATATTTTCTTGCCATAATTGGAGATTGATTTTAGTATGCCTGTAAACTTACATTTAGTGAAAGATATTCACTGGGCCATGCATTATTGTGTTGGAAATATTTACATATGTACCACTTTAAGGAGGTTGGAGTGGAATGAATTTGTGTTTGATGTAAAAGGCGCAAGTATTTAGTCAGCGTTTCATTCTCTGCAGCCTACCTTAAGTTTGGGTTTTCATATTTCTCAACATTTAAATGGAACATATTGATTTTTGTAATTTTCATAGACAGTCTGATCTTTTCTCAAGGGACAGAATGAATTGAAGGATTTCATGTCCGCTTGTATTTTAATGATTCAACGACCATATAAGGTAATAATACTAGCAATTAAGTCTCAGTCCATCAGAACTGCCTGTCAACATATCATTTTAGTCAACTCAGGATATCACTATTTCATTTTAGTGAACTTAATTTATCACCATTTAAGTTCAGTAAAATTATATATGGCATGTATCACCATTTCAGTTTAGTGAACTTAATACATATTGATGCATTGTGGGGGGCCATTTTTAATAGCTCAGAATATCAAAAGGGTATTTTAAGATTGAAGAAACATAACAAATGTACAAGTGGTTATCTTGAAACTTTCTCAGCTGCCAATGATTTGATTTGATTTTAGTCAGTATAAATGTAAATAATTTTAACATATTTAATTTATTTATTTTAATTATATACTAACTTTTAGACTTTAGCAATTATAATTATGTTATAAGATGTAAAATTTATCTTGAAAATTCAATTCTTTATTCCTCTTATGTACTATATTTGTATTTAATACATATTCCCAGATATTGAAGATCATTTGTTTTTTAATCTGATGTCATCATTTTTCTCCTATATATCTCCCAAAAAGAGAAGTAAAATATGGTATATTTTCACTTTAAAAATACTCCGAGCATATTCAGTATACTATTAATGATAGTTTCACTTTAAAATGTAAAGATTATCAAGGAAATAAGTTAATAGTAAATTTCACTCATACTACATGAAACCTGTCTTAGTGAACACCTGTCTTTGTGAAAACCTGTCCATAGTGAACACCATTTGAAGAACAGACTCCATTGACTTCTGAGAGTAAACAAATCTGTTGAGAACAGTAAACTTTTTAAGACTTCAAAGGTGTTCACTAAGCACAGGTTTTCAACAGTTTATATCACTTACTTCCCTCTTAATTATATGCCATTACCTTAATAAATTGACTAGTCGAAAGGTCTAACACCCCTATTGAATGAACGGATTAGTGAATGAACTCGTCCAATACACTGCCTATCCATGCTTCATGCTACGACCTACTTCATATTACCTTTCGACGACCATCTCGCTACAAGCCTTCAACAGAACTTGGAGCAACTATACTCGTCAAGATGATGAACAACGAGGACGTTTACATGAACACCTCAGAGAAATGTCCTGCTATCATTCTCCAGCAAGAAGAAGGAGAATGCACTGATGGAGACACAGAGCAAGCAGGGATTCAAGAGAGTGCAGACCAGAACTTCAACATGAGTCTGACTGACAACTTTCTCAAGGAGAAGATTTCTGTTCTGATGAACGAAATGCTTCAAAACAAGCAACAAGAAAGCCCAAGGAACAGTGTGAACACCAGGCACAGCAGTCCTCGGAGGCTTCAACAGGAGGCAAGGTCGGACAGACCAAGCTCAGCGGCAAGGAGTGAATTTGTCAGAAGTCCCCGCAAAAGTTACAGGAGTCCCCGCAGGAGCCCTAGCCCATGGAGATTTCAGGACCCCAGAAGCCACGCAAGTCCCAGGAGACGTGCAAGTCCTTCGAGACGTGGCAGCCCCAGGAGACATGGGAGACATTCGAGCAGTCGGGACAGAGTTTGGAGCCCTAGGAGACCAGAACCCAGACGTTATACGCCGGAGAGAAGAGGTCATCATGACCGTCATGGTGAACACAGTCCACGCAGGCGTAGTAGGTCTTACAGTCGTGAAACTAGTGTCTCTTCTAGTTACACGCCTAGACCACGTGACCCGTCACTTCGTAGCAGCAGAGACAAGCACAGAAGTCCCCATAGGAGACCAAAGTCCCGCTCTAGAAGCAGAAGTCCAGTTCGAACGAGGTCACCTAACCCGGAAGTGATTGCTCCAGTTTCACTTTCGAAAGAAAGTTCAACCAATCACAGTCTCGAACGTCACGAGGGGCCCGAGGATATGGACTCGCCCAGTGAAAATTTTCAAGATGGCGGCTCCAGGATTTCGGAAGAAGAGAAAGTTTTGGCTTCGTACAACGCGGCGGCGATATCACAAGTCAAAAACCTGTTACCAGACGCTAACCTGACGCACCAAGTTCCAGACAGAGCGGTGGTTATCAAGCCCTTGGCATCGCAGTTCTTCAAAAACGAGTCTGAAGGTAATGAAAAATCTTTCTTACCATTATCACCCACGGTGATGACTTGTTTTTCTAACAGATCCTCGATCATCGCGAACGATTTCGCCTTCAAAAAAGTAGGACAACTTTCCCGAAACGACAAGGCATCACGCTTTCCAATTCCTCCAGCCGGAGGACTTGTTGTTTCGAGTATGAGGCCAAATTCCAGCCTGTCAGCGGTGATGTCTGAAGAAAATTTCAAGAAAGCTGACAAGGATTTGACTATCAGCAAGACCCAGTATAGGCTTCTAGAGGAAGGCTTAAGATTCCAACTGAAACCTCTGGCATATGCAGAATGGCTGTTAGGTGCAGTGGCCAAAATTCTCAACGATTCTTCATCCACTGATACTAAGATGTTGTCTGATCTACTACAACCTGCAGCACAAGCCATTGGCTGTCTGACTGATCAAAATGTGAGACTGCTGTCCAACGTAGTTCTACTTAGGAGAGATGGCTTCTTGAAGAACATGACTTGCCCTTCTGCAGCAAAGGAAATGCTCAGAACTCTACCCATAAACCCTTTGGCTCAGGAATTATTCCCACAGGAGTCAGTCACTGAAATTTTGAAGTCCAACCAGTCTGATCTCACCAACCAGGCTTTAACTTCCTTGGCTAAGATGAATGCGAGAGCTGAATCAAAGAAGTCTTCTCAACCAAATAAGAAAGACAACAACAACAACAACAGAAAGTCCAGTTTCAATAACAACAATGGCCCTGGTAAAAAGAACAGCTCTAACTCTTTTCGTGGCAAGGGAAGAGGAGAGAAAAAATCACAGTGACTATCTACCTCTATCATCCAGTCCTCCAAGTCTTTGTCTCCCACAGCTACCTGTAAGCCCTCAACAGCTACCAGTGGGAGGCAGACTACAGCATTTTCTTGCCAAATGGAAAGAAATCACAGATCTAGGAGGTTTTCTACAGATCATAAAGGAAGGTTACCAGCCGAAACTTCACACAAAACCTACCCTTACATGCAATCCTTGGCCTTTCCAGTCATCAACAAGAGACAGAAAAGACCTTTATGCAGCTACAGTCACTCAACTTCTGGAGAAACAGGCCATAGAAGTTGTCCAGAACGTATCCAGTCCAGGCCTTTACAGTCATCTTTTCTTCGTCCCAAAAAAATCCGGCTCTCTAAGACCAGTCATCAACTTGCATCATCTGAACCTTCATCTAGAAGTTCCAAAGTTCAAGATGGAAACAGTAGCACAGATCATGGATGCAGTACAGCCTCAACAGTGGGTAACGTCCATAGACTGCGTAGATGCTTACTTTCATCTCCCAATCAAGCAGTCATTCAGGAAATACCTGCGCTTTGTTGTTCAGGACCAAGTACTTCAATTCAAAGCCCTGCCCTTTGGTCTGGCATCAGCCCCGATGATTTGGACACATCTGTTACGGCCTCTAGCAGCTCATCTTCACTCCAGAGGCATACTGTTTCATTATTACCTCGACGATTGGCTGATTCGAGGCAATTCACCTACAGTAGTTCTACAACATACTCAGATGGTGCTGGAGCTGGCTCAGGCTCTGGGTTTCCTCATAAACTTCAAGAAGTCGGAACTACAACCAACTCAGAAGTTCACTTATGTGGGAGTAGAATACGATCTCAGCAAGGGAATTTGCCGTCCCCCTCACGATCGAGTAGAAAAGATATGGAAAGCTGGACAACATCTTCTAGAGAAGGGAATAGCCTCAGCAGAAACTTGGCAGTCTCTACTAGGCCTGTTGTCATCTGCGGAGAAACAAGTGCCATTGGGTCGTCTTCATCTACGACCTCTACAGTGTTGTCTGTTCCAACAGTGGTCTCCTCTATCTCAGCCCCAGTCACATCTAGTTGTCCTCTCACCAGATGCTCAGGGGGCACTCCTATGGTGGCTAGACCCCAGGAATTTACAAGCTGGTCAGCCTCTCAACAGATTTCACCCAACAATGACAATCTACACAGATGCATCGTTGGAAGCATGGGGGGCCCACACACAATCGCAGGAATGCTCTGGAGTCTGGTCCCAGTTGGAATCAAGTCATCACATCAACTTTCTGGAGTTACTAACAGTCAAGAAAGCTCTGATGTTCTTCAAGGAAAAGATAACTGGACAGAATATTCTGATTTGCACAGACAGCACGACTGTAGCAGCATATATCAACAACCAGGGCGGAACACATTCCCCTCAACTACTCCAGTTAACTCAGGAGATTCTCTTATGGTGTCACAATCAGCAAATTGTACTCAGAGCGAATCATATTCCAGGATCACTGAACAGAAGGGCAGATCAGTTATCCCGGAAAAACCAGATTGTCAACACAGAGTGGTCTCTTCATGCAGACATAACCAAGAATCTATGGAAAATATGGCCAACTCCCAATCTGGACATGATGGCCACATCTCACAATCACAAACTTCCAGTTTACGTGGCTCCAGTTCCAGATCTTCAGTCGTGGAAAACAGACGCCATGTCACTGAATTGGGACAACATGTACTTCTACATATTTCCCCCAACAGCAATGATAGCAGCAGTCCTGAACAAACTGCAGGCTCACCAAAACACAAAATGTGTAATGATAGTACCAAAATGGCCCAATCAACCATGGTACCCAGACCTTCTCAGTCTACTAGTAGATTTTCCTGTACTGATTCCAATATGGAAGAAACTCCTTCTTATGCCAAGGACCTCGATTTTTCATCAAGATCCAGAAAAGATGTCTCTACACGCTTGTCTGTTATCAACAATAACTTGCGAGAGGAGGGGTTTTCTGAAGAAGTGTCCAAAGCAGTACAAAAGTCTAGGAGAAAATCTACCAATGCCATCTACGATTCAAAGTGGAAATTATTCTCTGTTTGGTGTTTGGAAAGAGATACCAATCCCATCGAGGCATCTATTCCAATGATTGCAGATTTCTTCATTTATCTCAGAAACACTAAAAAGAGGTCTTTTTCTACTATCGAGGGCTACAGAACAGCTATAAACAATGTCAGGAAATCTACACAATCTAAAGATCTCTCAGAATCACAAGTGATACATGATATGTTGAGATCCTTTAAATTAGAAGATGCAATTCCAAAGTCTACCTTACCCAAATGGGACTTGGTTTTTGTACTTCATGAACTATTAAAGCCTCCATTTGAACCTATGAATTCGGCAGATATCAAATGGGTGACTTTAAAGACTGTATTTCTTCTACTGTTAGCCTCGGGCAAGAGACGTAGTGAGATACATGCCTTAGATGTTACAAGGATACAATGGAAAAATAACAATACAGAAGTTTTCCTCTATCCATTCATTGGTTTTCTGCCAAAGAGCTTGGAAGCAGCAGAGGGACAAGCCAGATTTCAACCTATACATCTGAAATCATTGGCAAGCCATGTGGGAAATGATCCAGATCGATGCTTATGCCCACTTAGAGCACTCAGATTTTATCTTGCTGCTACCAGAGTCTTCAGAGGTACCAGGAATAGGATCTTCATACCTTGGAAGAAAGGGTGTAATAGCAATTTACACTTAAATACTTTATCCAGCTGGATGAAACATCTGATTCTTCTAACCTACAATAATTCCACAGCTGAGAGTAGAAGAATTGGGAAAGTTAACGCACATGAAATAAGAGCGTTATCAGCCTCATATGCAGTACAGTCGAATGTTAGCCTAACAGAAATATTGAAAAGTTGCTCTTGGGCTCACAACAACACTTTTATCGACTTTTATCTGCGTGATGTCACAGTCCTACAAGATGAAGCTAGAAAGCTAGGACCTGTGATGCTGGCTGGAACTGTGTGCGACCTGTAGCAGGTGCAGTAAGTACACAACAACTTTTTTCACCCCACCTATCCAATATGTTACATGCTATGACATATAATTAAGAGGGAAGTAAGTGATATAAACTGAAGATTTTTTTTATTAAATCAACCGTTTATGGAACTTACTTACCTCTTAATTACCAGAGACCCACCCACCTTCCCCGCTTGAGGGAAATTTTTCATTTTATTTTTTTGTATCTTCGAGGTCTCTCGGTAATATGAAGTAGGTCGTAGCATGAAGCATGGATAGGCAGTGTATTGGACGAGTTCATTCACTAATCCGTTCATTCAATAGGGGTGTTAGACCTTTCGACTAGTCAATTTATTAAGGTAATGGCATATAATTAAGAGGTAAGTAAGTTCCATAAACGGTTGATTTAATAAAAAAAATCTTCAGTTTATAGTTTTACTAAAAGTAAAATTAAGTTATTACCAAAATGTACCACAGAAATAGTTTCTTTCGTTTATATTTTAGAGAAACTTGATATTTTCCCATATGCCAGTTTGACACTTTGCATACTCAATAACATAGAACTCTTAATGTTGTTCAGTTTGAATTTATTTATATGTACTGTTTGTATTATATGTAATTATTCAATCACCTATATTGCATTATTGTAACATATTTTAACAATATACATATTGTACATTCTTGTTGTATATCAAAGAAATAAACAGATTTATAATATAAACATGACAAAAATGTTTTAATGTTTGCTCAAAGTTTTGCCATCCATACAGGATCTGTGAAGCAAATGTCAAAATGTAATGTTCAAAATTATCAGCTTGTTCATCCAGTTATGCCCTGTGTTGAGTTAAATTGATCATTTTTTGTGACATTATAGAAGCAGTTTTCTATGTTTCTTTTCTAAATAGATTAAAATTGGAAATCATTAATTGGGAGGATTGATGACTGAGGCCAGCTAGAAGCATAATTGGTCCATTCTTATTTTTTCTTTTGCATGACTTCCTAGAATCAGATTACATTTGTTTCTTAAACACAAATTAACAACAAAATGAAAAGAACTGTCTAAACTTCAATTTGAGAAAATAAGGGACAGTTCAGTTATCATATTTGTGTAATTTGGCTTGACATTAATATTTAAGTATATTGTTAAATACATAATTCAAGATCAGCATTCATGATCATAGAGAAGACAAAAATTCACCCAGAGAATTAGCATTCTTACTTTTATCTGAATCATTTCTCAAAATTCCTGCCAATTTTGAATGTTGTAATTTCTTTTTCTGTCGTTTACTTTTCTTTCCACCTGGTGAGGGGCTCTGATTGTTCATCCCTTGTAATAACATATTCAAACTAGAGGAATTAGAACTCAAGTCTTGAGATTTTTTACTAGAGTTCAAGCTCGATGCAGATGATTGAGAACTTATACTGTTCTGTCTAAATGGTCCTTTCTTAGTTATATTTGCTGGACTAAGGGGTCTACTTGAGTCAAGGTCCATTTGCTTTTTCCTGAAAGAAAATCACAAATATTTAAAGTATTTTTTAACATGTGTAGTGTGTACTAAAGTTGAAAATATGTATTAGATATTGCTGAACTTGTGGATTGCTTTTATGATTAAAATATCAACAGAATCACAATTTTTTGAGATAGCAGTGTTCAATTGTGTGATTTCCCAAAGAGGTAGATCGTCGGTTCCCATGCTCAATCTGTAAATCACTGCATTCTATGAGGATGGGTCTGAAGCTTGATGAAGCAAGATGAAAGAGGTGAAGAAAAGCTAAAAAAATTTAAAAAAATTAAAATTTTGAAAAGTTTGTTTTTGAGAGTAATGTATGTTACCTTTTTATCATTGGGGTACTGCTGCTTATAGGGGTAAGGCCTCTGAAGTCATCTATTACTGCACTGTTATTGGCTGATTCAAATACATCACTCTCATTGGCCACTGATGATGAATCTACATCCTGATTGGGTGAAGGTGAGTCCATCTCATTGGTCAAGGAAATTGATAAATCAGTCTGATTGGTTGATGATAATGAAAGAATGCTTTGATTGGTTGATGATGTAATGTTCAATCCATGATCCTGTGTTTTGTTTTTATTAGCTAAGTATCTCTGTTTCTTTTTCTTCCTTTTAAGTTGGGCCTTAGTTTGACCACCTAAAAATAATATCAAAAATAAATATGCAACACACAAAATAAATATTTTAAAAGAGTTAATCAATAGCCAAATATTGGAATGACTGAAGCATGCAGTGAATTTCTAAAAATTATCTGAAGGCGGTGTCTGGGTATCGGAATCCACTTGACAACCAGAGAGTAGGAATATTTTAGAATATGTAGGTGAATAGCATTGTAAAACGTCAAGCAAGTTATTTTCATAATGGAGTCCATTCAAAGCTGTAAATGCATCTAAACAAGGCCAACTGTAAAACAGATGAATGGTCACCTTCTTTACCTTCTTTACTGTTGGTATCTTGTGGTGTTTTCCTCTGTTTCCATTGACCAGCACCCTTTATAGATGTCACTTTCTTACAGAGATTACATGTAATCCTCTGAAACATTAACCACACATTAAAGGGAATTAGACATTTCTTAGAAATATAAAAATTGGCCAACTGGTGTTTTAAAAGTAGTTTCCCATTCTTCTAAGAACAAATGACCAGATATGGTTTTCTGATGTATTGATGTTGACAGAATGTAAGTACAGCAGTGTATCACAAGACAATGCTCCCTCCAAGAAATATTTGCCCACATTATTTTGGCTACAGCAAGCCTTACAGCACCATATCTCCCTATCTACAAATGAGTCAGTAAGTAAATTTATATCTACACATGAAGCAGACTTTATGGCAAGGTATGGCATATATAAGAACAGTTAAAATAAATCATACCACAGTACTATGGGACTTGTAAAAATCTTGTATTCTTTTCTGTCTGAACTTTGACATTCCTGGACCCCTCAACGTAGCCCCAGATTTACGAGCTGCCTGCATTTCCTGGTATCGCACATGCTCCTTCATTAATGTATGCGTCTTCAACATCTTAGGTTTAATACGGGTCTTGTATGACCCTGGTATCAATGTAGCTCCACAGTACTGGCAATGGGAGGGAAGCTTTTTACATTCCAGTTGAGCAGCTTAAATATCAAATGTACATATTTGTTCTCAGTCCTTTATAATTTAGTCGGATATCCAATCTATATTTAATTACACCAGTATGGAAATTAGTGTATCATCTATTGCATTTATATATTGTATAAGGTGCCAAGAAGTGATGTAATATTTAAACTAGAAAAACAGCAACTCCACGGAGTAGCAAATCCCACCGAACAAAACATATTATGCTTATTATAGCTAGTGTAAATGTTGAAATGTTTGTGCACTTTGTGATAAAAGCATAAAATTTGGCACAAAGTTAGTTTATACCATTGTGAACTAGGCATCATCATATAAAATTTGAACCAAATCCGTTCACTGGTATATGAGTTATCAAAGATTACGTTTTTTACGAAAATTGGCCACCATCTTGAAATTCAGCCGCCATCTTGAAAATTATTTCTTGAACAGAGCTACTGTGTCCCTAGGCATAATCATATAAAATTTCAACCAAATCTATTCACTGGTATTTGATTTATCAAAGATTATGTTTTTTACGAAAAATTGCCGCCATTTTGAAATTAAGCAGCCATCTTGAAAATTTTTTGTTGAACATAGCTACTGTGTCCCTTAGCATCATCATATAAAATTTGAACCAAATCCGTTCACTGGTATTTGAGTAATCAAAGATTACATATTTTTACGAAAAATGGCCGCCATTTTGAAATTAAGCTACCATCTTGAAAATCTCTTTTTGTGCGAAACTCCTTTGTCCCTAAGCATCAGCATATAAAATTTGAACCAAATCCGTCAACTTGTATTTGAGTTATCAACGATTACATTTTTTACGAAAAATGGCGGCCATTTTGAATTGAGTGGCCATATTGAAAATTCCTTCTCAAACAAAGGTCCTACACTCATAAGGCATAAGCCTATAAACTTTTAACCAAATCCGTCATCCGGTATTGGAGTTATCGCCCGGACACACGGATGGACGGACGGACAGACGGACGGACGGACAAACAGACGGACGGCTTCTCTATATCCCCCTCGAACTTCGTTCGGTGGGATAATAGCCTCAAAATTGAATCAGCTCTTAAATCCTTTTAAATACATCCACTTAAAAGAGTCATTATTCAACAAAAAACAATAAAATATGAATGTTAGAGAAGCATAAAAAAATACAGTGCAGGGGTTTCAATATGAGCAGGCAACAGGCGATTTTACCAGTTGTTTTCACAAAATCGCCTGTTGTTTTTAGGGACTTTTCAACTTTTCCATGTTAAATTTATGATTTCAATTACTTTTGATTGTTGTTTTCATTTATTTAGCTTATTGTGAGAAATTCCAGTGAAATCCCTGGAAGTGTCTCTTCCCTATGCCATTGGCTTACCTGCATCATTCTGATATCTGTAATCCTGGGCAGTTTTACTGGAAGCAAACAATTATTACATCAGAACATATGTTTGCATGGAATCTGTACTTGTACATTTTGATAAAAATAGGCTAATCTGAACATATGTATGCATGGAACCTGTACTTGCACATTTTGATAAAAATAGGCTATTGACATTAAAGCAAAAAAAATATTTTACGAATGATAATGTTTAAATTTGAATTTATAAATAACAACTGAACAATGTTTTATTGAGTATCGAACTTCCCACCGTCAGTCTTGGCAAATACAATTGGTTGCCAGGATATTGTGCCCAGGCAGCCAATCACAGATTGGAGCACATTGAAGCGGGTTATTTTAAGACCCAACATTTGTAAGTCAATAGAAATACTCGTTTTAGATCATATAAAACTAAAATACCAAGGGGGTTACTCTAATTGTGCTTTTGGACGATCTGATCTCTTTAAACCACAATGTTAGCTTAAATCAAATGCAACTAAATTCGACACTCATAATTATCAGATTCTCAACCTGTCCCTCTGATTCATCATTATGTAACATCTTTATTAATTATTTTTCACATCATTACATTGTCTCTAAATACAAGTACCATTAACCAGCAATGCATTGCGAAGTGTATTGACTGTTCTTAGTCCGATCACAATCACATATTTCAACTGAGCAACAAATAAAAGGATTTAAATACATGTATTTCACAGAATTTCATCTTAGAAAGTAATATAAATCAAATTCCAGTATTCGTTACCTGAAGTAAGCGGAATATCCTGGGTTGTCTTGATAGAGTTCAGATAGGTGTTTCAAAAACTCTTCACCTTTGGCTTTCACTTTCTCACTTTGGCCCTCCATGACCTAAAAAGAAATACGTAAATATAATAGAACAAGCACAAAAAAGCGGATTTTCTCAATGATAGATCTATATTTTGCTGGATTCCACAGGACATTCATGGGATTTTGTTTGATCCTGTGAATAGGCAAAATTTTTGTCAAATTCGTGGGACAATCAAACTTACAAGTATAGAGAGATGGTTGACAAGTCTGCAAAAGGGGAAGACCGAGGATCTTTTATTTGTATACATTCCAGCCACCAGGACTTTATCAAACTCCCTGAACTGCCAAAATGACATGACACATTTTAAGATTACAGAAGACTAATTCAGTTAATTCTGATCTATCAGCTATCTTGACTTGACCAACCTAGAAATCCACATTAAAAAACCTAAAAGATCTCATTCTGCCAATACTTTAACCCAGACAATTGGGGTTTGAACCAAATCAAAACAAAAATATATTGAGGTACCCTGCACACAGAGTCTAGTTATAAACTACCCTCTGCCTAGTATAGGCTATATGACAGTTTAGCAGCCCCGCCCGAAAGATTGGTGCATGTGACAGCCTGGGTAATAAATCATTTCAAATCTACCACGCTGACCCTTTCTCAACCTATCAGCAAAGTGGAAGGAATACGTGATAAACACATGCTCATTAATTATTGCGTGGTGTCAGAGGAAACTAGATAACGGCAACTCCGCGGAGTAGCAAATCCCAACGAACAAAATATCAATTACCGAATTCCAATCAATTATACTCATTACTTTGGTTGAAAATGAAAAAATTAGATTTTAGAATTGCGAATTCCTGCAAAGCAGCCATTTTGAATTTTCCGAGGTACAAATCTGAAAAATTATACCATAATTGTGATCTACTCCAAAATTCCTTCAATTTGAGTATAATATAGCCATACTTTGAAGGGATCGAAAAATTACTGCGAAATCGTACATTAGACGGACATTTTGAATTTTACGAGGCTCGAATCAGAAAAAAGATACAATATTTGCAATCTACTCTTAATTGCCTTTCATTTGAGTATAATAAAGCTATACTTCAGAAAGATCTAAAAATAAGCGAAAATTTCTGTTTTCCTGTCCCCCCATACATGGCCCCTGGGGGTCAGGATGAAAAACACGGAATATATGTGAAATAGATAAATGTTGTGAATACACTACCAAAATTTCAAACAATAATATTAATTACTTTGGTTTATAATGAAAAATTTATGATTTTTGCGAAAAAGTCCCGTCATTTTTAAAGCGGCAGCCATCTTGAAAAATTTTTTTTTTGCGTAAAACTATTCACCAATATACAACTTTCCACTAAATATGAAGAAAATCTGTCAACTAGTATTTGAGTTATCTTCCGGACAGACGGATGGACTGACTGACGGACTGACAGACAGACGGACGGACGGAGGGCTTCACTATATCCCTAACGAACTTCGTTCGTTGGGATAATGACCATATAGAAAGTCGTTAGTATTTCGACAACGAACTCTGATTGGCTTGGTGAGATCAGAGATTTATTGTAAACTGAACGAGTGAAGACGAAGCTCTCTTTTAAGAAGTGAAGTTGAACAAATGCAAAGGGTAGTATTGAGGTATATGCTATATTTCAGTGTCAACCCTGCAGCGACCGGGGGTTCTAGGGGTTCTTACGAATCCCCAGTTAAAATTCCCCAAAATTTCCCTAGAGGTCATTTTAGAAGTGAACTGGGAGTTTCGGTAAAGATTGCTAAAAAGATATACACAATATTGTAAAATCCCCAGAGCGCAAATCTGTCAATTTAAGTAGCATCAAAATAAGTGTATCTACAGTAGTCATTTAAGTGTTTATTTTTTTTAATTCAAAGTAGAGTCCATTTCACTGTTTTATTGTGTCAGTACATGGGCTTTCAATTAGATCTAGTTGAAAGCCCATGGTCAGTAGAACCCCAAAAATAAGAAATCAAAAGATCATTATGCAATAGTATATGGAAAAATATATTCATATTGTACATGAATGACATTTGTTTATTTCAGATTTTTTAGTTTTTGTGCAATAAGCCTGTGCCCTCTTGTAATTTGAAGAATTTCAGCCACGTTAATCTTATTGAAAATAACATGGCAGAGAAGCATCCAAATATAAGAGCCCACACACTATATAAGCAAAACTAGAATCAATCCAAGATATACAAATGTCATACATGTACAATAGGAATATATTTTTCCATATACTACCCTTAAGAAAAAAGCCATGGTAACCATGGTATTCCATGGTGCGTCCATGGTAATCCATGGTTTTCCATGGAAATTCATGGTTTTTCATGGTATTTTCCATGGAAATTCATGGATACTCATGGTAATCTTCCATGGATATTTACCATGATTTTCCGTGGTAATTGGTGGTTTGGTAATTGTTTTTTCATGAACATGCCATGTATTTACCATGACACTTGAGTTGTAAAATCAACAATTTTGGCAGGTTTTGTTTTTACCAAAATCTTCAAAATTGAATCAATATTTTAACGAATGAATCCAAGCTGGATTGAGAATTAGTCTCATTAATCATAGATAAAATAATATGACACCCCCCCACCCCAAAATCTTTGAGAAAGTCAACCTTCTTGACAAAAGCTGGTTTCAGGCCTGAAATACAACCATGTTTTTACAATCTGAATATATGTTTAGTACATTCTGTACATAGTGTCATATGACAAAGAACTGTTTACTTAATATTTTTTTAATTGATGATTTGACCCCGCAATTAAAAGTAATAATTTGTTTGCTGGGATTTGCTATCATTTAACTTTGGCACTTATGTAAAAAAAGACAAAATAAGTGATAAAATCAGCTCACTGGATTCCCTTATTGCAGACTGAATAAACATTTTTACTTGGAGTAAATCCTATTTGGTTTTATTTGATCAACAATGAGTTTTTGACTTGCACTGTCTACACTCACAGACAATAATAATTACTGAAGAGGGAGCATTAGAAAGAGTAAGATTATCATATATAATAACAATTAAGATCAGAATATTTAAGAATTATGCAAATGAACTCTTATAATCTGTTGTAAAGAGATTAATCTTTTGACATTAATTTGAGAGTTAAGACACCTAATTAACATTAGGGGTCAAACGGTTCAAAATTCCAACGGTTCGGTTCGGTCACGGTTTTTAGGTTCACGGTTCGGTTCTTTCACGGTTCTCGCGGGTCTCGTAAAATGGTAATATTTCCTTATAAAATAGTAAAGACCGCTCATAAAGAAACAGGTTTTAGCTTTCTATCTAGCCTTGCCCATGTTGGCCACTTTCTATCCTGGTCCCACTATCCTTTTTTTATTAAATTGACTTGACAAAGCAAAGTTTATTGGCCTAGTGGCCAACTTTAAATTTTAAACTTTAGATTTTTTTGCCTTGATTGTATTAAGAGTATTAAGAAAATATTTTTCTCACCGTGAAGATACTTTATGATCTCCCTACAGATTCTGCATATTGATACATTGTCCTCTGATTACCCATTCCAAACGTTGCTTTTGTATTTCAATAATTGAGATTTAATCTCGCGTCAAAGCAGTCATGCTGAATCAGCACAGATGGCGCTGCGATTGTGCGGGAGATTTAAACACAGACATTAGTAATGTTATAATTTCTGTAATTGTAGTATTTTTTAAATAATATTGATTAAAAACAAACTTATTATAACAGACACAACACCTCCACGAAGCAAAATTAATTATACTATGAATAGCGTAATCTGGCGAGACCAACTTCCGGTCTATTTAAATGTCACAAAAATGTAAACAATTACTTGTCTATCGATTTGTGAGCGATCTGTTTCACATCTAAGGTAGGAATTGAATGTTTTCTATTGCTATAAATTTGTTTTTAAGGAATATATTCATGAAGAATAAGTTCATGTCGAACGAAAGAGAGAATATTGAAGACTAAGACTAAAAAATTTTATTTTTCAATTTTTCCTCGAACCGTGGATGAACCGAATCTCATATTTATGAACCGAAAATACCGTCCTAGCATCATTAACCGCGGTAACCGCGTACCGCGGTTAACCGTTTGACCCCTAATTAACATAGAATAATGGCAACCAAATATTTAAAAATTATGCAAATGATTATTTATTCCTATTCAAAGACAAATCTATTTTAATTACTTATACTATGTTTCATGTTTTAAGCCAAATGGTGTTGTTAACCCCCTCCCCTTCATTCAGGCAACTTCTTTTTAAATATAATTTTCTTACATAGACAAATTGAATTTTTATCACTTAGGTATAACATTTCAGTTTGCAGTCATAGGCTTGTGTTTAATCCCCCATCTCAATTTCAAGTCAAAATTCTGTAAAAGTATATACTTTTCTGTGGATTTTTTCAGATAATATGCTTATAAAAGTTGAATGGGACTTAATTTGGAGAAGTTCATTTAGAAACATAATGTATTATTCATTTTTCTCCTTCCAAAAGACCAAACAAATAGCCCATGGAAAACCATGGACTTTCAAAAGATCAAAAGAATAATCATGGAAAACCATGGCTTTTGATTGCACTTTCCAAAACATCAAAGAAATAACCATGGAAAAGCATGGCTTTCGATTGCAATCAACCGTCTTCCATGGCTTTTGATTGCAGTTTTCTCAACTTGGCCTAAAAAATAAGCAATCTCTATCTAGTCTTGATCTACACAAAACACCTTTGCACAATTGTTTTTGAAATCTTGTGGCCTACTCTCTGCTCTGCTGTTTCACATATTTTCTCATTTGTAAGCTGAGTCTAACATTCGATGAATGTTCTTGCTATACCTTCAAAATGAATCCTACCAAAATTGTTGATTTTACATCTCCATGACACATCCATTAAAAACCAATTACCAAACCAACAATTACCACGGAAAATCATGGTAAATATCCATGGAAGATTACCATGGGCGTCCATGAATTTCCATGGAAAATGACATGGAAAACCATGAATTTCCATGGAAAACCATGGATTACCATGGGCGCACCATGGAATACCATGGTTACCATGGCTTTTTTCTTAAGGGTATTGCATAATGATCTTTTGATTTCTTATTTTTGAGGTTTTACTGACGCAATTAAACAGTGAAATGGACTCTAGTACCAAACATTTAAAATTTTACTGCAGCTACTTACTCTCCAAATGTTCTCTTCATCTCCATTCTCCATCTGCAAAAGTCTGTAAGGACTTCTCTTTATCATTGAGTAGATATTTTATGACGAGAAACCAAAATGATGGTTTTGACAGAAATTCACGAATAGCATTCAAAATCTCCCAAGATTTCTGAATGACATTGACAATTTGCTGAACATCCTGTAGCTCCCTACTCCAGAATAAAGTCCTGAGCGGCACAGAAGCAGCTGATAACTTATACTGTAGGGCAAGACTTTCGCAATCAGAGAATGGAGATGTAGAAAACATTTGGCGATATAAAATAAGCAGCTGAATTCAATATTTCAGTTTCAACAGGTAAAAAGTGGCGTGTAAAGACTGTTCCATCAGATCAATATTTCATTCTTGAAACAAACTGAGACTGAAAGACGAAGAGCTGAAGTCGTCCTAATATTTTTACGCTAGCATACCTGGAATTCTTGACAATGCATCCAAACATAGCTTACGCAACAGACTCAAACAAATCTATATATGAATCACATACTCACCATCTAAAAGGGGTCTTCGAATGTTTGCAGTTTAGTCTCAAAATCAACAAATATTTTTCTAAATTTTATGGGGGCTGACATTTTTTAAATGAGGTGAATAAATCCTGACATTTGATTGGACCAACGATTTTTATTTGGGTTTTATAATTTGTTCTTTTGTTAAAATTTATTTCTAGAACCTTAGTGAAGTTAGTTTTATATAGATATAAGTAAATATTTGATCTTGAAATTTTTCATTGCTTATGAAATTTACGTAATTTCAGGTATATTCAGTCCTTACTATGAAAAGTTAAACTTCCGCTTTGGAATTTTGTCAATGAAAAAAAGGAGTAGATCGAATATCGTGCCGAAATGCCTGTTTTTAGCTTGCATGAGGTGAAAAAACATTGCAAAGACAATGATCTATGGGTGGTGCACCAAGATAAAGTATATGATGTGTCGGAATTTGTCGAAAGACACCCGGGTGGAAAGGATATTGTGTTGGAAAATTCAGGAGTTGACGTGACCACGATCATGGAGACAACCCCCCATAAACATTCAGATGCAGCATACACCATACTGAAGAAGTATTACATAGGGGACATTAAAACCATCCAGACCAATGGCAAGGTAATACATACAATTAATAATTCATACAAGGTTATTATGTGTGGCATTCATTATCATTGAGATGTCCTTCCATCCCAAAGTTATCGTAGATTCTAGGTTGATATGCAAAATGCTGACTGATAATCCCATTAAAAACCAGAAAAATTAGACTTATAAATAGAGTGTACTTTTAGAGAATAGAATGACTGATACTAGAATTTTGTTTCTCGTTTACGATTCTTCTTATGGGCAATTCCAATCTACAAAAATATCCCAAATGTTTAAATGTGCCAAAAAGCCCATTGGTTTTGATCAGAATTAGTCAAATTCATTACTTACTATTCTTTTCAGCTAAATGTGTGTCAATCTATATTCAATGAAGTAATTCTGAGGACTAGGCCTATATCTCAATGTTGACTTTTTTCTTAATCCCAATTTCATTGTATCTCCCATTTATTCACATGTTTAGAAACAATGAAATATGAGCAACCAAAAATCCAAACATCTCTAGCCTGCCCCAGTCGCATTTGAATTAGACACAGGGTACGGTTTAGTAATGTACAAAAACATCATGAATATCTGTGACTATTTGATTTTAACACAATCCGAAACAAGAGTAAATTTTCCGGAAGTCTTAGTTTTTTTCAATATGAATGTACCTTCTCCCTTTTAAATTATGTTTTACTTGAATTAGATGAGTTCTTGTATCCATTTGATCTAAAATGATGTTCTATAGAAATACGATCTTTCAAACTTAATTATTATTTCACCAATAACTTTTTGGATGATGTTTCGACATCTGTAACAAATGGCAGTTGTTGACATATTGTATCTTGATGCCTAATGCTAAGATTATTGAAAACAGAAGGGGAAAATGCAAAATTATAACTTATTCAATTTTCTCTATCTCTTAAATCATGAAAACCAGAAGGACTAAAATAAGTGTAGTTAGATAAGAAGGGGGTACAATTGCACTGAACAAAAGTAAAAACTTCCAGAACTTTCCAAGAAAAAAGAGTTTTGGTATTTATTTACTCTTAGATAATTTGCTTACATTTTGATGTTTAGCAAAACTGATCCTGTTAATTGTGTGGGTACATTTTCATTCATAGGTATGATTGACTTACATGCTGTGGAGTAGGATACGATCAAGTTCAAATTTAAATTAGATCATACAAAGTATGTGGTATTTGAAACAGAAATCCAAAATACTGTATTCAGGTAAAGAAGACTAAGAGGATTAACTTTTAACCATGAATTTTGCAAGTCACTGTTTTACTGACTGTTTCTATAAAATAATAATCCCATATTACGGCAACTTTAATCCTGATCAACATTTATGTCCAATTCAAATAATGTTCATTAAAGCCTTTTAAGGCTTGGCGTAGCACGTTTGGGTAATTATATGCGTATGTTATAAAAGTATAGTGATAACAACATAAACAAACATTTCAATTAGTATTCCATCACAAAATCAAACCTCTATAAAAAATTCAATTTACCAACTAAATTTTTTATGAATTTGTCTCACAAACCAAAGTAGATGAATAAAATATAAAGGGCAAAATGAGAAACACTGATAGACATCAATTTACAAAGAAATGCAGAAATGCAGAGTCCCAGATACACAAGATATTCAATATTTAAGCATATCTGATAGATTCTATGTTTGACACCAAATATGAGGAAATTTGCATCAATTCTAGATTGATCTCAATAATACCTTATTTTTTACATTGAAAATCTCATTCTTGCTTTTAAAAACATGTTATTATGCATTTTCAATTAATTTTACCTATTATTTCACATCTTAATCTTTTTAATTTATGTTATTACCCATTTTCCATTGATTTATACATCATGATATTGTTACCTGTAATAATGGGGTCACCGCCTGGGATTCACACAGATGTATAGTCTGGGTGATCATATCATGTCTATTGTATATTGGCTAATTAGATTGATAAGACATGTATCTGCTAATTAGCAAATGTATCATGGGACTCTTGAATATATACAATATATATGGTCAGAACAGTAAAACCTAATTCAAATGCAACTGGGAATGATCAAAAGTGATTGAATTAGCAGGTGTCCATGCAAGTTTTTGTATTAGTAGGGGGATACAAAATTGGGAGAGAAAAAGAGTTCATGATGACTGGTGTTCAAATTCAAGAGGTGTGCGAATATACAAGTTTTACTGCATGTATATTCAAAACTCAATAGTCTTTAGTCTACAAACCAGCAAACAACCTAAATTGCTGGCATTATAAAACCTACCAGCCGTGATAAAAAAAGATTTATATAGAGTCTGGGCTTTGTTGTTAGTACATTTATTACTTGTTATTTGGTATTCACGTGATCTCGGAATATTTTATAGGATTTCATATCAGCTTTGCCATTCAAAGTCAATAATATACAGGTAACACCTTCATATATTCCAAGCTGTGTCACTATGTACTCTATGAATAACATAACATACTACATTGCTGTCAGGATTTTTGATTTAGAGTTCAGCCTGCTGATCTAGAGTTCTATTTCCTGACATCTAGAGTTCTATTTATTGACCTAGAATTCCATTTGCTGATCTAGAGTTCTGTTTCTTGACATAGAGAGCCACCCACTACTTTTACAAGAGTCTGACAATCATAAACACTCTTAATATGATTATATCTCAGATCTAAAGAATATTATATATAACAGGATTTATATCAGCTTTGCCATTCAAAGTCAAGTTCTATTTCCTGACATCTAGAGTTCTATTTCTTGACCTTTAGTTCACTCTGCTGATCTAGATCGCATCAATTTATTTTAATATAGCCTTGCCCAAGTCGGTATTTTTTTACTTATCTGATCTTGAATTATTACCGCCTTGTACAATCCAATACATCTCCACTGTTATTATGCTGAAATATTCAACGGTTTCGAGATACCTACGCTATCAGGGGTATCGCGAAACCTTATTGATTGACAGATATCGCGTGGACACGACGTGTGACTTCAGGCTGAATGACCAATCAAAACGTTATCAGGTTGAACTGCATAATTGAAATTCAATGATCTGATCGAGTTTTTCTTTTGAGTTACAATATATTATGTAATTAAATGTACATTGGAAGGTAAGAGTCATTATAAATTAAATCATGCGATTCAATGTTGATGAAAATGCACGAAGACTTATGTCCAATGTAGCGGGTCATGTTGTCGTCGATCGGTGATTGAATCTTACATGTTCAGCGATCGTTTCAACGTTTATTGTTTGATTTGATTTGATTTGATTTGAAAACTATATTTATTCTGGGTAGCTCTATCAGTACAAAAACTGGTCTTCCTAGAGGCTTGTTAAATCTTCTCACCTTTGGTTATCCGATCGATGCCCCGGCATCCACTAAACTCTCATTGATATTTATCTGATAAAATATTTGTATTTTCATTATGAGTTCGTCCAAGATTTGTTCGTGAAAAGTCCCGGTAAAAAGTGTACTTGTTTTTGACCGTGCATAATAATGAGCTAATGCTACAGGGCCGTCATTGATTCGTCAAATACCGACATCAACAAACTGTCGGTAAAGCATGTGGCTTTCTCTTTGGTACAAGGCGGTCATAATAGAAATCAAGATAAGTAAAAGAGACCGACTTGGGCAAGGCTAATTTTAATATTGAGCAACAACAATCAGCAATCTCTCTTATTTATAAGATGAAAGCCTATTATTTATAATTCGATCTTTATTTCATATTATCAAAACAGTACACATACAATTTAGCAGCTTTGTACAAATTGCAATATATGTACTTCGAAGCTTAAGATGAAAAGAAACTGATAAATCTGATGTACATTTTTGATTCCCTGAGAAAATTGAGGGTATCTATGATCAAAATAATGAAATGAATTAGTTTTATAATTGCATAGATAATAGAAAATCAATATGTATCAACTGTATGAGATTTTAAATTACCAATGACATTGGATATTGGAAAGTCTATGATTCTCTTTAGTTTATATTATCACAGGTCATACTGTTCATGTCACCCTGTTCAAGAGCCTTGCCGTATCTACACTCTATAATTAAAAATGATTCTTTCATCTAGTCTATGATGTTACCCTGTTCAAGAGCCTGGCCTTATCAACACTCTACAATTAAAGATAATTCTTTCATCTAGTATTTAATCAGAATATTTACATAGAAAATCACTGAATTATATACCCTGCGTGCAGAGTCTAGTTAAACTACACTCTGCCTATTAGAGACCATATTACAGTTTAGTAGCCCCGCCCCCACGACGGGTACCGGTGACAGTTTGGGTAATAAATCACTTTTGACCTACGCGCTGACCCTTCTTCCACCAATCAGCGAGCTTTAAGAAACATACGCCAAATGCGTTCTAATTAAATATGCGTATGTCATTGGTCAATTCCGGTCTCAACAATGATGTCAGAAAGAATGACCATATATAAAACGTCGGTCAAATTTGGCCGACAAACACTGATTGGGGCGGTGAGTTCACAGGTTCATTTTAGTTTGAAAGAGTGAAGACGAAGCTCTTTTTAAGGAGTGAAGTCAAACAAATGCAAAGGGTATGAATTATACAGGTTTGTTTCATAAACAAATGAAAATAACAGGTGAACTTATAATTTTAACAGTGAAAGTTGCAAAACCTCATTAAACAACAGATAATTTGGTATAAAACAACCAGAGCAAAATCTCTCATTGCACCTTGATACTGAAACTCCTGTTAGATTTCCTGCTTTATAAGTAGCTTACATTAACTAATATTCTAACTGTGATAAAAGGCCATGAAACTACAGGTCTTTCTATGATATCAGCATTAATCCCCCCCTCCGGTTAAAACCTCTGTAATTGTCAGTCTGAGAGGGTAGTTTCTGAAATGGCATCTTAACTTTACTTTATGAATCATAATTATGTTATCTTATCAAGAACTCATGTCTTATAAGTATTGTACCATTTGCATAGATCATGTTTTGTTTGTGGAATCATTATATGATCATATATTGAGTGTTT